TTTGCTATAGTTGCACTCCCCGCTCCATAAAAATCGCTTCCCCTCTCCCATTCTCTCATTTTCTAAAACCTCTTCCAAGACACACAGTGCAGATCTCTCTCTTATCAATCAAACCTTCTCTCTCATTTGAATTTCTTATTTTATTTTTTTCTGTGCTCAAGTACACGACTGATTTGTCACTTTTTTGCAAATTCTCCTTCAGAATATAAAAGGATCATCATATTCCCCCTTCTGGGTCCCCCCCCCACCATCACAGAGGAGTTTTCCAGAACAAATCACAAATTATACTTCTTTCAATACATATTCTTGCAAAAGCCAATTGACTTGAAACTACACCCCCCCAGCACACACCAAACACACAGTATACCCAACTACACAGAGCCTTACACACGCACACACGCACTATACCCAGCATAACAATACCATGTCAGCCAAAGCATTAGGAGCGAGTTCATTTAGAAACATATTCGCAAAACAGAATGCATTACCCAGTGCATCAAACACAATCCTCAACTTCAAACACCTGCCACAGGAAAGCTTGCTGAACATCATAACGCGATCGGACAAGGAGATTGGAGGGTACTCTGAAGTGCATCTTGACTACGACGCAGCAGAAAAGTGTGCGCATTTCCATGGCAATTTATCATTGGACTTACCCAAGGATAATCCGCAGGTGACTCGGTCTGGATATGCCATGTTCAGGACCAAGGATCAGCCGCTGAGCATAGTATGGGGAGACAAGTACTGGGATTGGAGCGATTACACTGCGTTGGCTTTGCGGGTCAAAGGTGACAGGAGAAAGTATATCGTCAACATCCAGGCCAACACCCCCTTGGTTACAGACTTGTTCCAACATCGGTTGTTTCTTCAGAACCCAGGACACTGGGAAACGGTGGTGATTCCGCTCCATGACTTTGTCATGACGAACTGGGGCGTCATCCAGGATGGATCGGAGCTCAACAAGTCAGAGGTCAAGACGGTGGGGATCGGGTTGCTTGATAAGCAATACGGTCCGTTCAGTCTCAAGATAGACTGGATCAAGGTGATGAGCGGGGTCGATGTGTCTGAGATCGCAAGAGACGAAAAGTTGACTGTGTTGAACGATGATGCGATTGAGGAGACGCCACTCTACGGACATGACACTTTTACCAAGGAGAATCATTGAAGTGGTTTGTATAGGTATCTAGTAAGTTAATAAATATATTCTGTGAGTAGTAATGTGTGAAAACGTGGGCGGGAAATTGAGTCACAAAGCCAAAGTATAGCTCCGAAATTTCATCAGCAATTAGTGACTTTGATAAGCAGATCGACTCTTCTCCACACCAATGACATCGAGATATAGAGTGGAGTATGCTCTTAAAACACACAGGCGAGACGAGTTTATTGAATGGATCAAAGCCCTTCTTGCTTGTCCGTTTGTGTTGCATGCAGACATCGAGAGCTTTGACACTGAGTTCCCTGAGTTGTACAACCTTCCTGAGGATTCCGAACGGTACTACAAGAACCACGAATTGAAGATTGCACAAGATTGCCAGCACCGGTACCTACAGATATTCCAAGACGTTGAGACTTTGATTGACCATACACGTGCCATTGACAAGCTTAACGATAAGGACCCGACTCGCAACGCAACCAGTCGTTTGCGGAACTTGGTGCCTTCGTTGGGAAGATTCTTTACAAGATTGCCCTTGGCGGATGCATTTTTACTAGAGGATGAAAGAAGGGCCATTAGTAAGAGGAGATTGGTCAGTCCCTCGTTCAACGATGTGCGAATGATTTTGAATACGGCCCAGATTATGGCGTTGACAGACATCCATCACAACAAGAGCGAGAGCCACCTTAAGCTTATCACGTTTGACGGGGACGTGACGTTGTACGAAGATGGACAGTCTTTGGGCGAGTCGAGTGTGGTTGTTAAGCGATTGGTGACCTTGCTCCAGCTGGACTTGTTTGTGGGGGTGGTTACTGCTGCGGGGTATCCATCGCAAGCCGGAGCAGATAAGTACTACGAGCGGTTGAGGGGGCTTATCGACTACTTGAATCGAGACGACTGTGTGTTGACACCACGCCAACGAGAAAACTTGCTTGTCATGGGAGCAGAGTCCAATTATCTTTTTCGATACAATAACGAAATGAAAGGGTTGAAGTTTATTGACAGTGACGATTGGTTACTCCCAGAAGTCAAGAGGTGGGACATAAGCAAGATCGACTACATAATGCACACAATCCATGATCATTTGCTGCACCTTCGTATGAAGTTTAATCTTGAGAGTACAACGACGATAATCAAGAAGGAGCGATCAGTGGGGATCATTCCTAACGCCGGGTGTAAGATCTTGCGTGAGCAGTTGGAAGAAATGGTTCTTTCGTGTTCAAACAAGTTGGGCGTTGTGCTACAAGGCACGGGCGCTTCAAAGAGCACCGCCACCTCTGCTACAGAAGCTGCAGATGCACCTGATAAGTCGCCCCATTCGCTTGCACTAAGTGATATCAAAGTGTGTGCATTCAATGGCGGCAGTGACGTTTGGGTCGATATTGGGGACAAGGCGCTTGGTGTTGAGTCGTTGCAAAAGTATATATGCCAACTGGGGGATTTGGATATATGCCCCATCACCAAATCGGAGAGCTTGCATGTGGGAGATCAGTTTGCTAGTTTAGGAGCCAATGACTTCAAGGCGAGATTGAGTGCATGCACCGTTTGGATTGCAAGCCCGGCGGAGACAGTGGCGGTGCTAGACGATTTGATATCGTTTATGAAGTAGAGCGTAGAGATAGAGAGTAGAGATAGAGGAAAGTAGTAACAAGTACATTGTATTGTCTATTTAACTTGTCATCAAGGGTAAACCGTAGATGACTGGAGCTGATCCATTGAGATACTTGAGAATGCACACATCTCGGCTCATGCGCACTGCTTCTGCAATGTCAACTTTCTCTTTGGTGTCATGGTGAAGCCCCCAGTATTTAAAAGTCGAGTTTGTGAATGTATCAATATCTTTGTCGGTAACGTCCCATAAATTTGCAAGAACAAGAGGAGACCCGCAATTGATCCAGCTGAATATTCCTCCCAGCGGTTCAAATTGGCCATGGTCTTGCAAACTACCTGATGAACATCCAATCAATAAGCACGGGGGTAAGTCACGATGCTCTGTTGCCTGGAACAATGTTCTGGACTTGACATATTGATCACAGCCTCCATGTCCAATGTAAACAAACAATTTGGAAGCAAGTATATCATCCACAATCTTGTTCTCATCGGGCTTGACACCAGCTAACCCCTTCCATGACTTATGCTTGTTTATCAATGGCTGGAAGCGTTGTTGACTGGTTTTCAAATCCCCCCCTGGGTTAATCAAATAATACACCTCACTGCTGTTTACTCGAGACGGATTTTTTTTCAAAACTTCAGTTAGCATAGACACACTAGGCATCCTAGTTACGGATTTACCCCTCAAGAATTGCAATGACTCCCATGGAAAAAACGAGCAGCGAGCACTTGGGATCAATACGACGTGACCAAACTGATCTCTTTTCTGATACTTGTCAAGCAAATCTTGAATTGATTCGTGTATTTTCTCAAAATTGATACTAGCATTATCAACGTTCGAGTGGAAGCTGAGTAAGTCCATCAAAAAAGAAAGCAAGTCATCCACGCATGCACGGTCATAACGCCTTAAACCGTAAAATGATTCAAATACCACATCATTCAACGTTATAGTGCGTTCAATACTGTCGGATATATGAGTTCTCAAGATTCTCGTTAAATCAAGTTTAAATTCATTGAAAGAGGATGCAAGGGACCCAAAAATTCCTTGAAATCCTCCAAACCAAAACTTTTCCACATGCTGCAAAAGCTCTTGCAACTCATAGTCCAATGTGAATCTAGTTTTCCACCATTTCTTGCGATCTTGAATCGTCTTTACCAATGATGTGGTCGAATATAGAGTCGACTCTCGATTCGCTTGAAAAATACGTTCAAACTCCTTCTTCATTTCGTCAAATGTCAAAGTCTTTATTGATTCTCGTTCTTTGAATCTTGTCAATGAAAGGCGCACAAAGGTGGGCAACTGTCCAGATTGTAACTTGGAAAGTAACAAGTCTCCTGTTACCTCGCATATATCGATAGTGAAAACACTCCAATTGGCAGGTAAAAACAATAAATCAGACTTGAACTGGCTTAATTGCTGGCTATGTGAAAGTCGCTTCGGTTGCGACACCTCCGGAATTAATTTTTTCTCATCCATCAATGTTAACCTCCTCTCATCAACAAGCGGCTTAGCCTTGATCCAATCTTGCATAAAGTACATTTGAAATAGTAAATCTTGGCCATTGTATGCGCTAATTGAAGAAATCAAGTGGACACATTGCAACAATGTATAGTACAACCTCTTTTGCTCGACGATTGCAAACTCTAGCCGATGGACTTGGCCCAACAATGAATCCTTGATTTTACCCAAGTCAAGATATACCTCCATGGCGTTGTCATCTAAACACAATTTTGCACGGGTAATTGACGGGAATAACTGCACACCACCAGAAAAGGAGCCAACTGCTTTGAAGTTATTCAATCGACTTAAGCATCGGGCAAGAGAATCTTGAAAGTGGTGAATTTCTTCATGCTGGGTCGCGTATCGAAGAAATGGGTTCTCTCTCACTGCGAAGAGATGAGAATCCGATTTGTGGAGCTCAACTTGTTCTTGATGTAGTAGTAATTGCAAAACCAGTTTATGCCATTGCACTGTGGGGTCTGCTTGGACGAGCTCACAATTTTCCTGAGTACTCTTTGTGAAATTTTCCAGCTTCAGGAGGATTCCATAGATCCGGATCTTGTATCTATTGATTTGATTCACTAACGGAGCCTCTACCGATTCATTCAACTTGTTCCATTGAACTAAATAAACGGGTATAGTCTTGGACAAGCCTAAATCTGCCAACGAACCAACGATAAGATTGAACACTTCAAGGAGTAAAGTCTTCGTCTCCCACATAATTTCATTCGCCGATGAGATCTTGGAATCCGTTGGACATTTCTTTAAAATCAAATAAAGAATTCTCAAAGCTTTTTGGAGGCACGAATGTGAACATGCAAGATCGTCAACATTGATTTGAGCAGCTAGCAATTGTGATTTGGCCAAAATCAAAAAGTTTTTCAACTTCTCCCAAATGGATAATGACTTAGATTGGTTGAGATCAAACTCAGGTCTCAGTTTGAGGACGGATGTGAACGATTTGAATTTAGTCCTTGCAGTTTCATAATCTTCCATTGCAAGCAATTTGATACTTTCGATCTTGTAATTCATCACATCTTCAAATCGCAAATGCTTTGTTTCGCCAATCAATGATTGTAGTTGTGCTATTGACTTCTTGCATACAGAATGATCTTGAAGTCTTGCCGATATGCAACACAACTGAAAATGCAAAAATATTCTAAAGTAATCATCGACAATGGGTCCTTTCAATACCGTTTCAGCAATTTCCATCGCTTTTCTATTCATTCCATTGTATTTGAGTAGGAGAATTCCCCTTTCCACAATAGACTTTTCAAATTCATCCACTTGCGAGACATCCCGTGCCCAATGGGCAAGATTGCCGTAAATCCGCGTCAAACCGTTTTCATTCCAGGCATTTAAATTCATCTTTGCCATTGCAAGACCCGTTGATGCAATCAAGTCACAGGTTGCTGGCTCTTTCAAGTTCAAATGCTCGATTCCTCCAATGTCGTAATAAGCAAGCTGGAGCTGGAGTGTGTATTGGTCGTTAGAAAATCTTACCCCGTTGACAATGGCATTGCAAATATCAGACTTTTCCTCTTTTTGGTTGTTCATTCCCCTGCATATATCCATTACTAATTGGAAGCGAAATTGCTCATCAACTTCATTCAAGCACCCGGAAAGTGCGTAATTGTTCAGTAGTACCTTGTTAATCAAACTGAGTGTTGGTGTATCAATTTTCTTGCATATCTCACAGGCTTGCAACAAAGTCCTCATCATGTAAGGAGTGTATTGGTCAACCATTCTCAACTTGCCCACAAGTAGCTCAAAATCTCTTTCTGATTGTTGACGCTGGAAAATGAAAAGTTCATAACCAATGGCCAAATTTAGTAGTTCAGTGTCGTTAATCTTCTTCCCTAACTTGAATAACAAATTTGAAACATTGCGAACTCTTTTCAACTGGTTGTGACGCTTGAATAGCTCATATAACTGCCCGAGGAATGGAACGAGTTCGGGTCCGAGATTGTCCTTGCAGAATAAAGTGACCGAGTCCAACAACGCTATTTGCTGGCTCGACAACGCACTCACCGTAGATAATGAAAACGAAGCCAAAATAGACCTCGCTGATTCAAAGTTTGTTGCCTTTGAGGGTGATGGAGCCCATGTGTCATTGACGGGCCGCAAGGAGTCATCAGTTGGTACTGCACAAGTGAGAGGAATGATGGTAGTCATTTTTGCTTGCTTCAAATCCAATATGCCTGATCCGTGAGTGTCCTTAAATTGTGCAAACTTGGTGTCTTGAATGAACGGCTCAGCTCCGGCAACATAATCAAAGTCTTCCGTGTCAGAGTGATTAGTAAAGTCCATCAATTTGATCTGGAGACACGTAATTTCCAATCTGTAATGCTTTTTTTGACTTTCCAACACTTTAATGAAGGCCCTGATCAATTTCATACAATTTGTCTGATACTTTTCATTATAAGGCGCTTTGGCTATCCAGAGCCTGTGATTACTTGTTGTGAGAAACAATTTCGGCAAAGTTGGTATGATCTCCTGCCTCGCTACCCTTGGTAACGTATTCTTTGCAAGACTTTGTGCTAGCCATTGGAGGGTAAAAAAGTGATATGCAATGATAATTTGTGTTAATTGTCCATCACAATTAGCCAATTCGATTCCGTTGGTCATAGTTTGTAGGTCAATTGTTCGTGTAGGAAGATTCAAGCATGCTGTTATCTGTCGATGTGTGTTTTCTAGTTGATCGTAAGCTATATCTAGCTGCTTCATTTCAAATAGTCTCACAATCAACAACTGATGCTTTTTGAGAACGTTTAGCCACTTGTCAAAGTCTTTGTCATATAGAGAGTATAAGAATTGTAGTTTGATATGAATTGACTGGACATGCTGAATGCCAATGTTTGTGAATAACCCGTCGAGTGCCTTCAAGCATGAAAATTCGAGTGACTTCACGTCGAATTTCTGGAGGTTGGCTTTCCGTGATGGTGTGAGGGGCTGGACATGTCGCGACTGCACATATGATAGTAGATTCTGGTCCAAGGGGTCCATCATTTATTCTTCTTTCAGAGTGTAGAATGTAGAATAACAAGAAATACCTGGTAATTAGAGAGGTCAAAAAAAAAAAAAAGGTAAACAAACCGCGAAAAACAAAGCAGTTTAGTATTTGTGAGAATAAGATGATGCTACCCAAACTATAGCAGGCTATTACATCTGATTCTAGATCACCCTTTTGCAACAGACGACTACAAAAAATAACATTTTGAAACTACCTAGACTAGTTTATGTATCAATTCTATGTACAAGTGCACACCCCTTCCTAAAACAACCTCTCTCCTCTATGCTCTGCGTCCATTTCTTCTTGTGTGAATTTCTCCTTGTCTTCCAACCTTTGCAATGCCTTTCTCTTTGCCTTCACTGTTTTTGCCTTTCTCTCACCACCATTCTTCTTTACTCCCCTCTTGTGTTCTCTCAATGGTTCCAAGTTATTGACAAATTTGTGCTTCCATCTTAATAAATATCTTCTAGTTCGTGTATCGATACCCATGTCTTTCATTTTCTTGCTAGGAGTTTCAATAAATTTATTCAAGTCCCCTTCAAACAAATCCAAATGCTCCACACAGTTACGCCCAATCAAGGTGAGGAATGTCTTTAGATCATGTACATTTTCCTTTGTATAAGTTGATGTGTTGGTCTTGTAATTTATGAAGGACTGGGAAAACAACCTACAAGAAAGCGCCACAGGGCCTATGCTATTCCTAGAAGCAACAACAGGCTGTACAGATAAAGGTCTTATTAGCGATTTAAACATTCTGTGGTTATTTTTTGTTCACACCCTCTTTCATAAAGGATGGAAAATTTTCCAATACTTTCAAAAGTTTTCCTTTTTTTTTTTTATTTTTTTTTTTTCTCAGAAGCACTACCAAGACAATCTGTTCTATAGCATACCCAGACCTAATGGGTCCAGTCGATTTAGTTTTCTCTTATATTCTATAAAGACATTACCTACAACAAGTTTTTGCTCTTGAATTCAGCCAACAAGGAGTGACCCAATCTAGCTGGTGATTTTTCAACAACAACACCTGCAGATTCCAAAGCGGCAATCTTTGACTTGGCGTCACCTTTACCACCGGCAACAATTGCACCAGCATGACCCATTCTTCTACCTGGAGGAGCAGAAACACCAGCAATGAAACCAACAACTGGTTTGGCACCTTCTGGTCTGGTCAAGTTGTGTTGCTTCAAGAATTCGGAAGCTTCTTCTTCGGCACTTCCACCAATTTCACCAATCAAAATGATACCTTCGGTTTCCGGGTCGTTCAAATACAACGTCAAGGCGTCAATAAAGTTGGTACCTGGGAATGGATCACCTCCCATTCCAATAACCAATGATTGACCTAAACCGACTGCAGTGGTTTGAGCAACAGCTTCATATGTCAAGGTACCCGATTTGGAAATAACACCAACTTTACCTCTCTTGTGTATATTTGATGGCATGATACCAATCTTACATTGCTCTGGGGCAATCAAACCAGGGCAGTTTGGACCAACCAATCTGGTCTTGTCTTGGGTCTTTAAAATTTGTGCAATTCTAACCATATCCTTTTGGGGAATACCTTCAGTGATGGCAACGGCCAATGGAATTTCAGCACTGATGGCTTCCTCAATCGCGCCAGCTGCAAGTGGTGGTGGGACAAAAATACCAGTGGCGGTAGCACCTGCTTCCTTCATAGCTTCGGCGACAGTAGCGAAAACTGGTCTGTCCAAGTGAGTTTGACCTGCTTTCTTAGGATTGATACCACCAACAACTTGGGTACCGTAAGCAATGGCTTGCTCAGCGTGGAAAGTAGCTTGTCTTCCTGTGAAACCTTGGTAGATAACCTTGGTGTCCTTGGTGACTTTCAAGTTTGGAATAGTTGATGCATAGTTTTTAGCAATTGGGGTAGATTTGAAACCACGAATGAATTGCTTGCTCAACATGATTGGAATATGAATGTGCGTGTGAACCTTAATTGTAGAGATATGTATGTATATCAAAGTGTGAAAGAAAGATTCAAAGTATTGAAAAGTTTTGAATCAATTTTTGTTGACCGACTTCTCTGAGAGGTTTTTTTTTTTTTTGTTTTTTTTCTTTTCTTTTTCTCAACAAACCTCTTTAAACTATGTATGTATTTTTATTTTTTATTTTTTATTTTTATTTTTATGTTATTTTATTTTATGTTATTTATTGTACGAGAAATTAAGTAAGACCCGGTTCTACGTGTAAATAAAAATATATAATTAGAGCATGGTTTTATGACCGATACGCAGAATATTGTGGTGATTTTACCGGTCACTGACGTATCTAGCGATATCTTTGACGTAAGCTCATTCTCCGTCCTTAATTCACATTGTACAAAGCTTTCAGTGTGACGGAGATCAACGTGGGTCTTGCAATGAATCTTCACGCATTCTCAATGTCCTCGACAAATAAAAAAAAGAAACCGGAACCTTTTCCCGCGACCAAATTTTTATTAAGGTGGTGTAGTTAAGAGAAGAGGTTCACCAACAAGTCCGACTATGGACCCAATTGTCCCGATGCCTTGGCAAAAAGCAAGGTAATTATCACTCTACTGCCGTCACGGTTTACCAATTGAGCGACTTACTGTACTCTCTCAACTTTTCTGTTACTACGTATAAGCGTGGTTCTTTTCTATTCAACCGCGGACGATGAAGAAAAAATGACAACATTTCTACGTGAATCTCTCTCATGCGTACCCACGTCTTTATACACACTCGCCATGCTGGACCCCATAAACCCGCCTACGTCACCGATCTATACAGAATCTGGGGCAGGTACGCCGCTTCCGTCTTCGCAACCCGATTACGACCACGATGGAACAGAAGAAGAGCCACTGCTGAAAAAATTAAAGCCCAATTCGCCAGGGACTGAAAATGAAACACCACTGGGGGCAAATACTGGTGGCGCAACAACTCCACAACCATCTTCAAGTGGTGGACAGCAAACAGCTCCCAAGAAACTGAGTGCAGAAGCATTGAAACGCCGTAGAGAAAACCGGCAAAGAGCCGCAGCAGCATTAGCACAGAACTTGAAAAACTCAGGTGTTGGACGTTTTGAAGAGGAGAATGGCTTCGGATTGACCAGTGTTCGGACTATCCCGCTAATCAATCAAAAGAATTACTTCACTGAGTACTTGAAGAAGGATGAACAAGTTGGGTTTATTAGAAACTGGAGATTTGAACGAGATTTGGCAACTAAATTGAAAAAATTGAAACAAAGTGGTGGAAGTTTGGAAGAGTTGAAAAAGTTGGAGGAAACTAAGAACTTTGATGACTTTGATTTGAAAAACATTGAAAACGAACTAAAACTGAAGAATGGTGGCGTTACAGCCGTAGCCGTAGCTGATGACGACGAAGAGGACGATGACGAAGGCGAAAATGAAACTGAAGAAGTGCGACAAGAGAAGGCAAGGATTGGGGAAGATGTCGTTGTGTTGCAACCAGGTTCAGCATTCATTCGTATTGGTCGTGCAACTGACGCCGTGCCTAGAGTAATTCCAAACGTAATCGCAGTCAAGACTAATCAAACATCACCGGAACCTGAAATCTTACCGCAAAGGCATGTCGATGGGGATAAGGTGGTTATTGATGATGACTTTGAACAGCAACGTCTTGCAGCTTCAAAGGATTACCGGGCTAGAATGAGATACTACAAACGGAGAATATTGCCCAATTCACGCGAAACTGCAGCCAACTACAATAAAAAACAAGAACCTGAAATTATAGCCGACCACAACGACCCCAACAAGAAAGAATGGATCACTCCTGAGCCCTCACGCTCTTACTACACGGGAGAAGATGCATTGGCCTTAAAGTTGGAACCTGGATGGAAGCTACGTTATCCAATGATCAACTCCAACTTCAATGAATTCTGTCCGGAGTACAAGTCTCGTCAAGACTTGTTGGGAGATTTGGTACACATAATTGAGGATGCCTTGCAAAAGATGGAGATCTCGCAGTTGGCAAATTTCAAAATCATGTTGATTATACCTGACTTATACGATAAGGCGTACGTCGAAACCTGGTGCGATTTACTTTTACGCTTTATTGGATTTGGCAAAGTTGGCATTTTGCAAGAAGCAGTTGCAGCCACTTTTGGTGCAGGTGCATCAACTGCCTGCATAGTGGATGTTGGCGCTCATACGACAAAAGTCAGTTGTGTTGATGAAGGGATGATTGTCAATGATTCCAGAACCTTGCTAAACTATGGAGGTGACCACATCACCGAAGCTTTTGTCAAGTTGATGTTGGAAAATTGGTTTCCTTACCGCGACATCAACGTTGTTAATTCCTATGATTGGCAACTAGCCCAATCCCTAAAAGAAAATTTCATCACATTTCAAGATGCCGACATCGCGGTACAACTATACAACTTTTACAAAAGAAACCCTTTCAAGTCGACCGAGAAGTTTGAATTCAAAGTATTTGATGAGGTTATGTTGGCTCCAATGGGTCTTTTCTTCCCAGGTCTTTTCCAATCTACCAACAGCCCTTCATTGAACAGCTCTACAAAACCCCAGAATTTAACCTTGAAGCATTTCTTTCCACGAGCTTTGGATCAATATACTGGCGCACCAAACAATCCAAGTAGTAAAACCCAAACGAAATTGAGAACAAGCTTGAACTATTGCGACATGGATGAACTGCAACTACTTTTGAAATTGGCCGAGTCAAGTGATGATGAGGAAGTTATCGATGGTCCAATAAATGACGTACCGCTCGAGAAAGCCATTGTTGAATCAATAACCAATGCAACAATTGCCTGTGGTGATTTTACGAAAATGAAAAAGTTTTATGATAATATATTAGTCGTGGGTGGTGGCTTATCAAAGATTAATGGTTACGATCTCATTTTAACTGATAGATTGAACATCTGGAGACCCCGTATATTATCGACATCTTCATTTGAATCGGTCATTGACTACCTAAAGAAATTGTTGACTGATGCCATTAGCCAAGCCAAGGAAGCAATCCCAGCGTCAGAAGAGACGAATCAGGAAGTAGAGATTGAATTGTCTCCAGAATCCCTCGATCTCAACCACATAGACCAACTTGTGAACCAAGGCTCCGTTCTTCCTATAACCATCTTACCAACTCCCCGTGAGTTTGATCCACTGATGTTGACTTGGAAAGGAGGTTCAGTTTATAGTCGGTTGAAGGTGGTTAATGAAATGTGGATAAACCAGAAGGATTGGGATTTGTTGGGAAGTCGAAGTTTATACTACAAGAGTATATTCAATTACTGAGTATAGGAGCCGATAGCGAAAAGTAGTTGCCAAAGCAGGAGTACCGTAATGTCTCTATTGAAAAATGGTTCATGGAAATCACCCACCTACTGCGGGGGGCTTCACCATGACACCAAAGAGAAAGTTGACATTGCAGAAGCAGTGCGCATGAGCCGAGATGTGTGCATTCTCAAGTATCTCAATGGATCAGCTCCAGTCATCTACGGTTTACCCTTGATGACAAGTTAAATAGACAATACAATGTACTTGTTACTACTTTCCTCTATCTCTACTCTCTATCTCTACGCTCTACTTCATAAACGATATCAAATCGTCTAGCACCGCCACTGTCTCCGCCGGGCTTGCAATCCAAACGGTGCATGCACTCAATCTCGCCTTGAAGTCATTGGCTCCTAAACTAGCAAACTGATCTCCCACATGCAAGCTCTCCGATTTGGTGATGGGGCATATATCCAAATCCCCCAGTTGGCATATATACTTTTGCAACGACTCAACACCAAGCGCCTTGTCCCCAATATCGACCCAAACGTCACTGCCGCCATTGAATGCACACACTTTGATATCACTTAGTGCAAGCGAATGGGGCGACTTATCAGGTGCATCTGCAGCTTCTGTAGCAGAGGTGGCGGTGCTCTTTGAAGCGCCCGTGCCTTGTAGCACAACGCCCAACTTGTTTGAACACGAAAGAACCATTTCTTCCAACTGCTCACGCAAGATCTTACACCCGGCGTTAGGAATGATCCCCACTGATCGCTCCTTCTTGATTATCGTCGTTGTACTCTCAAGATTAAACTTCATACGAAGGTGCAGCAAATGATCATGGATTGTGTGCATTATGTAGTCGATCTTGCTTATGTCCCACCTCTTGACTTCTGGGAGTAACCAATCGTCACTGTCAATAAACTTCAACCCTTTCATTTCGTTATTGTATCGAAAAAGATAATTGGACTCTGCTCCCATGACAAGCAAGTTTTCTCGTTGGCGTGGTGTCAACACACAGTCGTCTCGATTCAAGTAGTCGATAAGCCCCCTCAACCGCTCGTAGTACTTATCTGCTCCGGCTTGCGATGGATACCCCGCAGCAGTAACCACCCCCACAAACAAGTCCAGCTGGAGCAAGGTCACCAATCGCTTAACAACCACACTCGACTCGCCCAAAGACTGTCCATCTTCGTACAACGTCACGTCCCCGTCAAACGTGATAAGCTTAAGGTGGCTCTCGCTCTTGTTGTGATGGATGTCTGTCAACGCCATAATCTGGGCCGTATTCAAAATCATTCGCACATCGTTGAACGAGGGACTGACCAATCTCCTCTTACTAATGGCCCTTCTTTCATCCTCTAGTAAAAATGCATCCGCCAAGGGCAATCTTGTAAAGAATCTTCCCAACGAAGGCACCAAGTTCCGCAAACGACTGGTTGCGTTGCGAGTCGGGTCCTTATCGTTAAGCTTGTCAATGGCACGTGTATGGTCAATCAAAGTCTCAACGTCTTGGAATATCTGTAGGTACCGGTGCTGGCAATCTTGTGCAATCTTCAATTCGTGGTTCTTGTAGTACCGTTCGGAATCCTCAGGAAGGTTGTACAACTCAGGGAACTCAGTGTCAAAGCTCTCGATGTCTGCATGCAACACAAACGGACAAGCAAGAAGGGCTTTGATCCATTCAATAAACTCGTCTCGCCTGTGTGTTTTAAGAGCATACTCCACTCTATATCTCGATGTCATTGGTGTGGAGAAGAGTCGATCTGCTTATCAAAGTCACTAATTGCTGATGAAATTTCGGAGCTATACTTTGGCTTTGTGACTCAATTTCCCGCCCACGTTTTCACACATTACTACTCACAGAATATATTTATTAACTTACTAGATACCTATACAAACCACTTCAATGATTCTCCTTGGTAAAAGTGTCATGTCCGTAGAGTGGCGTCTCCTCAATCGCATCATCGTTCAACACAGTCAACTTTTCGTCTCTTGCGATCTCAGACACATCGACCCCGCTCATCACCTTGATCCAGTCTATCTTGAGACTGAACGGACCGTATTGCTTATCAAGCAACCCGATCCCCACCGTCTTGACCTCTGACTTGTTGAGCTCCGATCCATCCTGGATGACGCCCCAGTTCGTCATGACAAAGTCATGGAGCGGAATCACCACCGTTTCCCAGTGTCCTGGGTTCTGAAGAAACAACCGATGTTGGAACAAGTCTGTAACCAAGGGGGTGTTGGCCTGGATGTTGACGATATACTTTCTCCTGTCACCTTTGACCCGCAAAGCCAACGCAGTGTAATCGCTCCAATCCCAGTACTTGTCTCCCCATACTATGCTCAGCGGCTGATCCTTGGTCCTGAACATGGCATATCCAGACCGAGTCACCTGCGGATTATCCTTGGGTAAGTCCAATGATAAATTGCCATGGAAATGCGCACACTTTTCTGCTGCGTCGTAGTCAAGATGCACTTCAGAGTACCCTCCAATCTCCTTGTCCGATCGCGTTATGATGTTCAGCAAGCTTTCCTGTGGCAGGTGTTTGAAGTTGAGGATTGTGTTTGATGCACTGGGTAATGCATTCTGTTTTGCGAATATGTTTCTAAATGAACTCGCTCCTAATGCTTTGGCTGACATGGTATTGTTATGCTGGGTATAGTGCGTGTGTGCGTGTGTAAGGCTCTGTGTAGTTGGGTATACTGTGTGTTTGGTGTGTGCTGGGGGGGTGTAGTTTCAAGTCAATTGGCTTTTGCAAGAATATGTATTGAAAGAAGTATAATTTGTGATTTGTTCTGGAAAACTCCTCTGTGATGGTGGGGGGGGGACCCAGAAGGGGGAATATGATGATCCTTTTATATTCTGAAGGAGAATTTGCAAAAAAGTGACAAATCAGTCGTGTACTTGAGCACAGAAAAAAATAAAATAAGAAATTCAAATGAGAGAGAAGGTTTGATTGATAAGAGAGAGATCTGCACTGTGTGTCTTGGAAGAGGTTTTAGAAAATGAGAGAATGGGAGAGGGGAAGCGATTTTTATGGAGCGGGGAGTGCAACTATAGCAAAACAATTGAGGGCAGCAAAGACAGCAAAGACAGCAAAGACAAGTACAAAGTACAACGTAAGTAGTTATCGCTACCCGCAAAAGAGTACTAGGACAGCAAGTATTTCGAAAGAGATATCAACATATGTCACATGTGAAGCTGCACTTTAATCATCTGATTTGTCGTGGTTCCTGCAGCTGACTGGTTTGCACAAACAATTTCCATCGTTGTAATATCGTATTAGCTAAACTCTAAATGGCAGCAAACACAACACTCTTCATTGGAGTCTATGGTAGTATGTGTCGTTATTGCGTCTTTTCCCTATTCTGTGCTGCATCTGAACCTATCTACCTCTTTCTTCGTTATCTTGGTACTTGGTCTTTCGGAGTTTTGAAATTGATTTGTTTTGTGTAAATTCCGATTACCCCAAGAAAATAAATTAAATGTGTGGATTGGAATTAACCACGTAGCCACCCAGTTGCCTCTGCGCCAAAGCACATCTCTCTACATCGTTCGTCAACTCTTATCTCTTATCAAAAAAAATAACTGTGGAGTCGCTGAAGTGATATACACTGAAGAGGATTCTGAGATGAGTTTACAAGCTCGGAGAGTTTTGTGCTTGCAGCTCAAAATCAATCTTTCCTGCCATTTAGCGTATGCTGTTGCTTTTGGAGTTTTATGTTCTGGTCTGACGCTTGCATTGAAGTCTGCGAGACGTTTAAAGACGTCCTTAAACCCAAGAAGCTTGCCCTTTTCCTCCTGTTAAAAAGTTATATGCTTAGTCTATCAAAAGTTGCACTGCTGTCAAGTAAACAATTCTTTGCATCAACCTTGCCACAAAAAGATCAATAATCACCGAACAACAAAAGTTGATAGAGCTGTTCATCAAGACAAGCTCTTCACTGAAACCCCTCAAAGTGATGTTCTCGCCATTCCCTTCCTGAATTGATTCTCCTGATGCATACAATTCCTATTCCAAAACGGGTAATAAAACACAACTTTAAACGTTTTCCGCACCCTTCCCAGAAAAATATGTCATATGTTGCGTGGCCCACCCTGCACAGATAAGCAAACAAGTAAATTCAGCCACAGTGTATATATAGACACGTTGACGTACAATTCTCCCTTTCAATTGCTCCTCGATACGTCCACTACATATCTCCCAGCAATCATGCCTACTAGATCCAAATTCTACAACCCGGCAACAGCACCATACTACGACCCAAAAACAGAGAGGAAGGTTGTCCTCATCACAGGAGGAAACTCTGGTATTGGATGGTACACGACACTCCATTTATACCTCCACGGGTATGTGGTTTACATGGCTGGTAGAACCGAGCTGAAGGTTAGAAAAGCATTTGAAGACATTGAAAAAGAAGCGCAAGCAAGAGCAGCCAAGACAGAGAAACCTGAACACGTTTTTGGTGAACTTCACTACATCCATATTGACTTGTTAGATTTATCGTCGGTTCCTAAAGCCGTTGAGCAATTTGCAGCCGCCAAGGAAAAGAGGTTGGATGTGTTGATAAACAATGCTGGTATCATGGGGGTTCCTTACAAGGTCACCAAGGACGACTATGAGATTCAGTACCAGGTGAATTTTGTTGCGCATTTCCTCTTGACGCTCCAATTGGTTCCTTACTTGGAAAAGACTGTCGAAGCAGGTGAAACTCCCAGAATCGTCAACTTGTCTTCGATCGGACACAACTTTGCTTTCAAGCATTACAAGCCAGAACAGAACAAGTTGAACTCCTTCCCCAACAGTGTTTTCACTTGGGTTCGTTACGGTATTGCCAAGACTGCCGAGATCCAAATCACCAAAGAATGGGCAATCAAGCACCCCAAGTTCTTGTCGATTGCAATTCACCCTGGTATCATTTTGGGCACAAACTTGTACGACTACTGGCGTCATGTTCCCGTTCTCAAGTATCCAGCTAATGCCATTTTTGCACTCTCAGACAAGACTATGGGAGTGTCCAATGAAGAAGGGTCGTTGGCGACATTGAGAGCTGCTATGGATCCAACATTGAACACAAAGCAAGATAATGGAGAGTTTTTGGTTACAGGTGGAATTGAAGAGAAACCAAGCAAGATTGCTAGTAACTTGGAATACGCTAAAGAGACTTGGAACTGGAACATTGAGCAGTTGGAGAAACGTGGATTCGATGTAGGAGAGGCAGGACATTGATAGGATGTGTTGCGTAGTTGTTTTTTGTTTTTTATTTATTTTTTTTTTTTGAGATATTTAAATAGATATGGAGTAGCTAGAAACCCTTAATGATTTGGTTTATATATGATCAATGTGTATAAACGACTCTGGTGTTGAAACGTGCTTCCTTTTTTGGAATGTTTATCGCGCCACATTATTGTAGATAAGATTATCCTTTATATTGCGCACTACCCCCCACATTCACCACCCCTCCTTGCTCCAAACAAAAAAAAAAAAGAATCACTACCGCTCATACATTTGAAAGTGTATTGATACCCGACCTCAGAAGCAAATGTTTGGAATATTGAAGCATGTATTTGATTCAAGTTACCCCTGATGGTGTATTATGCGCAGTATACTAACATTTTATTTTAGTACGCTTATCTCCCTTGTATACCCGGTTTTTGCCTCCACTATTGCCATCGCAAACAGTATTGATGAGCCAAATTTGCCATCTCGCGTAGATGCATTGCAGCGGTGGCTCATATACTGGGTGGTTATAGGATGCGTGGCAGTCACAGAGAATATTTTATCCGTTATCACGTTCATTCCGGGATACTCCTTGCTTAAAGTTGGCTTTCACATTTGGTTGATATTTCCCATGGTTGTTGACAATGAAGATTGGAAACAGTCTGGCGCTCCTTGGCTCTTTTTTGAGTTTATTAAACCTCAACTTGAAGCCAATAAGGATGCTATTAGGAGATTTGTCTCTAACCCCTTGGACTTGAAGACGGTTTTGAAACTAAGTTCACTTGCAAACAGAGAGGCAAAGTCCTCTCCCAATACTACTACAGCCACCACCACCGGATATGATTATGCCTCAATATTGGATGGCTCAATTGTGATGGTAAAGAATTACTTCACAAGAGAGATCGCTGAAGAAGCAGTTGTTGAGAATCCGAATAGCGAGGAGTTTGATTTGGTAGATAAGCCCGAGGCTGCAGAGGCATACCAAAGGAAAGGGTACTTTTGGTAGTTTTTGATTTATGTTTGAACCGATCTCTATTTACAATCCTAAGTAACTTGACACTTGACTACGTGCTTGGTGTAATCTGTCAAATTTCTTTCCCTTTCTCGCCAGCTTGGGGATGAACCTCTCAACTTTACTGGGCTCCTCAAACAAACCGTCATAAGCATTTAAAGGCTTATTTTTGTCAGCACCGCTGGCCATGTTATGTTTAACAATCTCTTCACTATTGGTCTGTTGCAACTTGAAGTCGTCAATCTTCTTTTGAGGAACTTCAGGCCAAATAAATGGTTCAGCCATATCAATGGTCATTTTCTTCAATTGGGGTACCCTGTATCTGGCCAAATCACTCAAACTTCTTGTCCACTTAGCTGGTTGTAATTGCACCGTTATGTTTAGTGCTCTCAACCCATAGATATTCCACAAGTAGTCCCTTAAATCCAATTTGTTCATTGATTTGGGCACCAAAAACTTTGCTTGATACGGAGTATGCTTAGCATTTGGTCGCAAGAGACAAATCCTTCCACCTGGCAAGTACACTTTGTTTTCACCTTGAGTAAAATGTGGTTCATCCATGGCTAAATCTTCTTGGAACTTTTCAAATTGTGCACGGGCCCTTTCCGAGTCTGTTTGACTTATGAATCTGTTAGGTATTGGTTTTCCATGTTCGACGTATAGTTTCGCCAATTCTGAGTTTGGGAATAATGTAGTGGTTGGTGATTGAGCCAAAATGGGAGGTCTTACTCTGCGGAAACCATATCTGGGTGGATTAAGCTCAACAGTTTCTGCCTTGACTTTAGGATACTTTGCAGGAGGAAGCTTGTGATGCACCGACCTTGTGAATGTTTTTAGGAGGGACATATCCTGGTGTTGCATAGATAAAGATGCAATATCAATCAGACAGACACCCAGAAAAGATTTGAAAATTTTCCCAAAAGGTCGTGCTGGGATAAAAAAAGTCGGTGAAGAAAAAGAGAGAAAGAAAAAAAAAAAAAAAAACAAAAAAAAAGAAAAAAAACTGAAATAAACAAGTCAGATTACAATCACGACAACCATCTGAAATTTTTTTGCCGTCCAAATCACAGATCTCACCCACATCATGTCAGAAGATCCACAATACGACCCGTACCTGTATGATGACTCACAGAGCATCACCCCGGAAGATTGTTGGACTGTGATTACATCCTTCTTTCAGGAAAAAGGGTTGGTGTCTCAGCAGTTGGACTCATTTGACGAGTTTATTGAATCAACAATTCAAGAGTTAATCTGGGAAGACTCTCACTTGATTTTAGACCAGCCAGCTCAGCATACGTCTGAAAAGGACAACAAGAACAAGAGGTATGAGATTACTTTTGGTAAGATGTACATTTCCAAGCCAAGTCAGACTGAAGGTGACGGTACCACTCATCCCATGTTTCCACAAGAGGCAAGACTACGTAATCTTACATACTCAGCTCCTTTGTATGTTGATATGTCAAAGAGAGTTTTCGAGTCTGACGACAATGATAGAAGAGACAACGAACTTGAGTGGAAGGAGCAGATAATTCAAGGGGAAGAAGGTGACAATAAGGTATATTTGGGAAAGATCCCGATTATGGTGAGATCAAAATTTTGCATGTTGAGAGACTTGGGTGAGCAAGAAATGTTTGAGTTGAAAGAGTGTCCGTACGACATGGGAGGTTACTTTGTCATCAACGGCTCTGAAAAAGTTTTGATTGCGCAAGAGAGAAGTGCAGCAAACATTGTACAGGTATTTAAGAAGGCGGCACCATCTCCGATATCTCACGTGGCAGAGATTAGATCAGCTATTGAAAAAGGTTCGAGATTGATCTCATCCATGCAAATCAAGCTTTACGGCCGTGATGAAAAGAGTCTGTCAGCTAGAACCATCAAAGCAACTTTGCCGTATATCAAGGAGGACATCCCTATTGTCATTGTATTTAGAGCTCTTGGTGTTGTTCCCGATGGTGATATTTTGGAACACATTTGTTACGATGCAAACGATTGGCAAATGTTGGAAATGTTGAAGCCTTGTGTGGAGGAAGGTTTTGTTATTCAAGAGCGAGAGGTGGCGCTTGATTTTATTGGTAGAAGAGGGGTTTTGGGTATAAGGAGAGAAAAACGTATTCAGTATGCCAAAGATATCTTACAAAAGGAGTTGTTACCTAATATTACCCAAGAAGAAGGATTTGAGACGAGAAAGGCATTTTTCCTTGGGTATATGGTCAACAGACTACTTCTTTGTGCTTTGGAAAGAAAAGAGCCCGATGACAGAGATCATTTTGGTAAAAAGAGGCTAGATTTAGCGGGACCTTTATTGGCCAATTTATTCCGTATCTTGTTCAAAAAATTGACCAAGGATATTTACAACTACATGCAGAGATGTGTTGAGAATGACAAAGAATTCAACTTGACTTTGGCGGTTAAATCTCAAACTATTACTGACGGATTGCGTTACTCGTTAGCTACCGGTAACTGGGGTGAACAGAAAAAGGCCATGAGCTCAAGAGCCGGTGTTTCACAAGTGTTGAATCGTTATACCTACTCATCTACTTTGTCACATTTAAGAAGAACAAATACACCTATTGGAAGAGATGGTAAAATCGCAAAACCTAGACAGTTGCACAACACTCATTGGGGATTGGTTTGCCCCGCCGAGACTCCTGAAGGTCAAGCGTGTGGTTTGGTGAAGAATTTATCCTTGATGACGTGTATTTCTGTTGGTACTCCATCAGAACCTATCCAGTCGTTTTTGAGGGACTGGGGTTTGGAGCCTTTAGAAGACTATGTTCCATCCAACTCACCCGATGCCACGAGAGTGTTTGTTAATGGTGTTTGGGTTGGTGTACATAGGGAACCAGCGTCATTGGTTGACTATATGCGTGACCTTAGAAGAAACGGAGACATCTCCCCAGAGGTTTCCATCATCAGGGATATACGAGAAAAAGAACTCAAGATTTTTACCGATGCAGGAAGAGTGTATCGTCCATTGTTTATTGTTGATGATGATCCAGATTCTGAAACCAAAGGTGATTTGAAATTACGTAAGGAGCATGTCAACCAATTGTTGGAATCTTCATATGATGGACTCGATGATGAGCCATCATACACTTGGTCGTCGTTGGTTAGGGAAGGTATTGTTGAGTATGTGGATGCCGAAGAAGAAGAGACCATCATGATTGCCATGACCCCCGATGATTTGGAAGCGTCAAAGAGTAGCTTGACTGAAACCCAACAACAAGACTTACAAATGGAGGAGCAAGAACTAGACCCAGCAAAGAGAATTAAACCAACCGGTAGTAGTAATACCCACACTTTTACTCATTGTGAGATCCATCCGTCAATGATTTTAGGGGTAGCGGCATCTATCATCCCATTCCCCGATCACAACCAATCTCCTCGTAATACTTATCAATCCGCGATGGGTAAGCAGGCCATGGGTGTGTTCTTGACAAATTATGCAGTGAGAATGGATACCATGGCAAATATTTTGTATTACCCACAAAAGCCACTTGCCACTACTAGAGCAATGGAGCACTTGAAGTTCCGTGAGTTGCCAGCTGGGCAAAATGCCATAGTTGCTATTGCATGTTATTCCGGATACAATCAAGAAGATTCTATGATTATGAATCAGTCATCTATAGATAGAGGGTTGTTCCGGTCATTATTTTTCCGTTCGTACATGGATTTGGAAAAACGCCAAGGTATGAAGGCTTTGGAAACATTTGAAAAACCTTCCAGATCCGACACATTGCGGTTGAAACATGGCACATATGAAAAGTTAGATGATGACGGTTTGATTGCTCCGGGTGTACGGGTCAGTGGAGAAGATATAATCATTGGTAAAACCACTCCTATCCCCCCTGATACCGAGGAATTGGGTCAAAGAACACAGTACCACACCAAGAGAGATGCTTCTACTCCATTGAGAAGTACCGAATCTGGTATTGTTGATCAAGTCTTGTTGACAACCAACGGTGATGGGGCCAAATTCGTCAAGGTGAGGATGAGAACAACAAAAATACCCCAAATTGGTGACAAGTTTGCGTCAAGACACGGTCAAAAGGGTACTATTGGTGTCACTTATAGGCACGAGGACATGCCTTTCACAGCCGAAGGTATTGTCCCAGATTTGATTATCAACCCACATGCCATTCCATCGCGTATGACGGTTGCGCATTTGATTGAATGTTTGTTGTCAAAGGTGTCGTCGTTATCTGGTCTCGAAGGTGATGCGTCACCATTCACTGATGTTACTGCAGAGGCCATTTCTAAATTGTTACGTGAGCATGGCTACCAGTCAAGAGGATTTGAGGTTATGTACAATGGTCACACGGGTAAGAAACTTATGGCACAAGTATTCTTTGGACCCACTTACTACCAAAGATTGAGACATATGGTCGACGACAAGATCCACGCAAGAGCAAGAGGACCGGTACAGGTGTTGACCAGACAGCCAGTTGAAGGTAGATCTAGAGATGGTGGTTTGCGTTTTGGAGAAATGGAGAGAGATTGTATGATAGCTCATGGTGCCGCTGGATTCCTTAAAGAGAGGTTGATGGAGGCATCCGATGCGTTCAGAGTGCACGTTTGTGGAAGTTGTGGATTAATGTCAGTCATTGCCAACTTGAAGAAAAACCAGTTTGAGTGTCGTTCTTGTAAAAACAAGACAAACATTTATCAAATTCATATACCTTATGCTGCCAAGTTGTTATTCCAAGAACTTATGGCCATGAACATCACCCCAAGATTGTATACTGAAAGTTCAGGGGCTAGCATTCGTGTATAAAAAGTTAATGTATACATACCATAGATCTATTTACAAGGCACCATTCATTTTACACTTGATGAGCCAAATACTTTTTCCTAAGCTCTGCCCTCTTTGCTTCGTTTTCTTCCAACTTGGCCAACTTGGCTCTTGTTTCCTTCATTTCGTCGGCAAATGCTATTAGATTATCTTTATAAGGATGCTCGTCACCATCAAAAACTTTCAATCTGTCCATTCTCACCAATCTATGCTTATTTTTAGGTATCATTCCTTTAACTGCTCTTTTCAACACCTCCCCATAACCTTTATTCGCAATCATTCTCTCCATAGGGATCAAGTTTAACGTACCTGGACGTGAAGTATGGTGCCAGTATGTCTTGTCTTTTAACTTGTTTCCGGTGATTTTCAAATGAGCACAATTTGTAACAACAACGTAGTCACCGTGATCCCTGTTGGGGGTATAAGTCGGCTTGTGTTTACCTTGTAGCGTGGTAGCAATTTGTGAAGCTAGTCTACCAAGTGTCCTCGAGTCTGCTGCAACATCAACATGGTGCCACACGCGAGTGAGAGCCAGTACGGCATTACCGATCCTCTGAGACATTCCGAGTGTTGTTGTAACTGTGTGTGTGTATCTGCTTGCTGGTGTTCTTTGGTGAAATTTTTTTTTTTTTTTTTTTTTTTCTTTTGGTACTATTTTTCACCACAACAAAACAGTTTTGTAAAACCGACGACATTGGAAAAACAGAGACACAGTCGAAATTTTCACCATCAGTTGTTGTGGAACGACAACAAACCACAGAACACCATCAGACCCTAATTTTCCAACCATTACTGTCCATCTTGTATTATATGTATAAAGCACACCCCAAATACCTGAACACAATATGTTTTTTTTGAAAGATTTATCGTTAAACCTAACCTTGCATCCTTCGTATTTCGGTCCTCAAATGGACCAGTTTTTGAGAGATAAATTATTGAGCGACGTCGAGGGCACTTGTACGGGTCAGTTCGGCTACATTGTATGCGTGCTAGACTCTATGAACATTGATGTCGGTAAAGGGAGAATAATCCCTACGACGGGAATGGCAGAATTCGAAGTGAAATACAGAGCTGTTGTTTGGAAACCTTTCAAAGGAGAAGTTGTCGATGGAGTGGTAACGACAGTCAACAAAATGGGGTTCTTTGCAGATGTGGGGCCGTTGTCTGTATTTGTCAGTACCCATCTAATACCGTCGGATATGAAGTTTAACCCGTCAGCGAATCCACCAGCTTATTCTAGCCCAGATGAAAACATAGAGAAAGGGTCGAAAGTTAGGTTGAAGATTGTGGGGACTAGAACGGATGTTAATGAAATTTACGCTATTGGAAGTATCAAAGAGGACTATTTGGGACCAAGTCCATTGTGATTGGTGTAATAGGGATTTTTATCGAAAATAAGAACTATACAAGCTCAATAACATAGATACAGCAACTATGGTATAGTTAATGTCTAGCCTACTCGCCATCACTGGGACCTAGAACTATTGAATCTTTTGAAGTTCCTAGAATGACCATTCTGTCGATACTTTCTTCTCTTTGTTTCAACTCTCGTACCCACGTCTCTTCTATCTGTTTCATGTCGTTAGGTTCCAGTGTGTAGTCTTGAAATACCAAAAACTTGTTTATCAACTTCCCTTTACCTGGCTCACATTCCAACAATTCAAGCAAGTTTTGTTTCTTAGCAGGCGAGGTTTCTAGCTTTCTGGACAACGTCCTCGTTTGTTTCAGATCAGATCCAGGTCTCGTCTGCTTTGTCCGGGCGCCTAAATCCACATTTATGTTATGTACTTCTAAATCTGTGCTCTTTTTCGAAAAGACTGTCCAGTTCTGCTTCATGTCATCGGGAGGAATAAAATAACTCGATGCTTTAGTATCATCAAAAAAAGATTCATCAACTTTGAACTGTCCATTTTTTAACTGAATACTTTGGATTGTAGGTGACTTGGGAGTTAGAATTTGAGCAACATGGCTGAAATCAGCACCTGAATGGATTTGTGACCCGAGGATTGGTAACGGATGCGACGTAAAAGAATGCTCATGAAGATTAGACTGGGCTGCACCAGCATTTATATTCGCACCATCAATCGCTGTATTTACTCTGCGGAATCCTGCTTGCGAGGAACGGTCCGAGTCATTCGGTTTCAACTCCGCTGCAGTAGGCATCAGCACATTGCTCGATATGTTGAAAAAAGAAGCAATCGTATCGAGGCGGCCAAACTAATCACTAACAAACACATCAATAACTTTTCGCCTTTCTTTCTCTCTAGAGTTCGCATTGTGCTCCAACATAGCGTTTCTCCGCTCGGGATTCGAAGCATACTTAAGCTTGATATCTTCAAGTGTGCGCTTTGTATCCGTCTCAAACAGCGCCATTAACTGTTCTAATTGTGTAAATGCAGCCTTCTCTATCGACGCTTCCAAAGCTAGCTTTTCAGTGGAAGCAATATCACCTACTGGCTGCAGTCGCATCTGCCGAGTTATATGTTTCTCAAGTTCTGCCTCACCTGGTGAAAACAAATGTCCTCGCTGCTGGACCGAAGTATGAATATTCGTTTCATTCTGTAAGTCCTTGTTTGCTTGCATTTGCTCTTCTTGCGTTGTTGTTGTTGTTGTTGTTGTTGTTGTTGTTGGTAGATTACTGTTTTCGGCATCTGAAATAAATACATCCTCGTCGTCCTCAACAAATAAATAATCAACATCAGACTCCTTGTGAGTTTCAGAACCGTGCAATTGCTCCGTTGACTCTCTGGAAGTGCCATCTTGGTTGGCTGAACCGTGAACTTCTTCAAGCACTGACAATGCGGTTTCTTTTCCTTGTGAAGGGTCCGTCCTTTTCCCTTTCCCTTTCCCTTTCCCCTTCCCCATTGCTGGTTGTTTGGAACTGGGTGGTGGTCTTTTGTTGCGAATAAAGAGAGAAGAATATTGCTTTTGAAGTTTATCATGCGCGGACCGAGATTGACTCCGTGAGGAAGACCTAAGGCCAATGGGTTGTCTAGCACTTGATTTCGCTTGATCATGAAGAGAACCATCTTCCAAATTGACATGCGTGCTTGAGTCTCCACCGTTCACGTTAGCGGGTTTAGAAATAGCTATATCATTGTGTTTGAGTTTCTGAGACCTTTTATTTGGAATGTCTCTCAACTTTGGATTGTTTGATACAATGTCACCCACGGAAGATTTACCCAAATTCTTGGAACTGGCTCTAGCATTTTGCGTCGATAAAAGTGCAACTGTACAGCCTGAAGCTCTACTTTTCGTTTTGCTTGATTCTGCAAGTGGGTAGTCCGCTTTTTGCTCAGTCACAGGTAGACTTTCCTTTGAAACTGCTGCTGCTGTGGCTTTAGGATCACTATTTGGGCTGACACTGCCGTAAGCAAGCAAGCCTGCGGCTAAAGGAAAGCGGTCTATGTCATCCAAGGAATCAATGGGTTGAGAGCTATTCTGAGTCTTGTGGCAATCAGTGGCTCTGTCCGCCGATTTTGCGTTGCAAACTTTACGATGAGATCCTTGCTCTAGCTTTATATGCTGCGTGCTTCTCTGATCTCGGGTCAACATATCAACAGCAACACTGTTCAGAGTGCTTTCTCGCTGCTGTTGTTGATGCTGCCTCTGCTGCTGCTGCTGTTGTTGTTGTGGTTGCAGCATCTTAATGGCAATTTGCTGTTGGGCGTAACGTCGTGCCCCACCTTCAAGACTTTCCGTGGCTGCACCAGGAGTTGATTGTCTCGCATTCCGTGGAGCAATTATGGCGGAACGGAATTGCTCCTCAATTTCTCCCAAAGATGCGGGCCCTGCAAACGGAGATTTGGTCAAAGGGTTACGAATTGGGTGCGCTTGAGGGGTTGTATTCTGTGTTCCCTCGTTGTGCGCTGGCTGCTGCCGAGAGTCTACTGGCCCATGTTGGGTTACCTCGTTCAAGGCATCAATTGTTGCATTTTGACACTCTCGTTGCTGTTCACGAAGCTGTTGCTCGTGTAGCCGAAAGTCCCGGGTCCGCTGGCACAGCATCTGGTGTCTTTGAAATTTTATCAGGACGTGGTCATCACGAGGACTCGTCTGGGCAGAATCTAAACCACAAGTAACCAAAGAAGAGTTTGTCGAAGGACTTGTGAGGTCCTGTCTTGCACGTTTAGGAACAACTTCACCTACGCTTGCGATTTCTTTAGAATAAACATGTCCCTGATTCTCGACAGATGTTTCGCCAAATGGTTCCTTTAGAGTCTCTAAATTAATACCAGGCTGTACCTTAGGTTGACCGTTGGTTGGAAGCGAGTCTTCACGTCTCATAGGATCGGTTACCGCTAGAAGCTCTTGAACCTTGCGGTTGGTGATGTCGTTGCGGTTGGTGCTGTCGTTGTTGTCGTACTGATCGCTGTCGTCGCTTGAAAGTACAATTTCTTCAAGAAAAGCACCCTCCCTAATGCCAGACTCAAGCTTTACTTTAATCTGGGGTTCTTCCACTATCTTTTGGGATTTGTGCTTCTTTGATTTCACCCTTGCTCTTGGATACACAGATTCAATTACCGGAGCCCATTGTCCATCATTTGTAATCCTTGCGTAGTCTACATCCATGCTCACATTATTGAGGATATCTTCAAAATACTCACAAATTGCCAAATCCGAAACTTCAAGGCTATTGCCACAATGTGGGCATTCCCATGTCGGGTTCAGCTGTTGTTGAATCATGAAAAAATTTAAATCAAAACATTCAAGATGATCGCACTCCATAGTCTTTATAGGAGTCTGTATTCTTGTGAATGTGTAGGGATCTTTTAATGTTAGCATGATATCTTTGATTTCAATACCCTCCAAGTGCAGGTCGTCTGCGTTCTTTTTGATCAAGTCCATTGTACCTCTCTTTGAGATTTTTGGGTGTTCCTTGATCTCCTCTATCACTTCTTCAATAGGTATCAATATCACAAAGTATAAGTAAACATAGTATGTATCTGTATCGTCCTCATATGTCATGCGAATCTTGTTTAATTTCGGCGGCCCAAGTACAAAATCGGTGACATCAACAGGCTTTGCTGTGCCAGGTTTATGCCTGATACCCTCATAGTTGTTGAGCATTTTTTCGTCATTCACATAAAGTTCATGGGGTATGGGCCACTCGATTTCCACGTCATGAGATACAAGCCCTTCTTCCATCTTTCTCCCGCAGAGTAAATATATCTTCATGTTGGAGTCCTCTCGTCTCAACAACTTGTGTTCGATCTCATCAAAGACAAAATTGATTTCAAGCACGCCTTTTCTCTTGCATGGCCTACATACTTGTGGTGAAATGTGTAGCTTTCGAACTAGTCTGAAGAAGGGGTTGTCAATGAAGTTGATCTTGTGATCTCTGACCGGATTTGAATCTCGTGAGTGCATTGCGGGGGGAAAAGAAGATGGTGTCCCGGGCCTGGATCGATCTCTGCTTCGATAATAGTTGTATACGTCATTGTAGGTGGGTATGCTTCCGTTATTCTTGATTAATTCAATCAAATTTCTTATAGCAGCAAGTCGTGCTGCCTCATCGACATTCCACTTGTCCTCAAAGAACAAAGCTACTTTTCCAAGAAGGACATCTCTTGTACCAGCGTTTGGAAGTACAAGCAGGCGCACTAAACTTCTCAATTGAGAAACCTTCAAGGTCTTTATCTCTCGTATCGTATCATTGAGTTCCTTCTGGGAGAAGCTGAGGGGAATAGGCATTTCAATCTCACATAAGGTTGTGTAGTTTTACTCGCTATGACCACAGAGGTTGTCGTTGGTTTGGTGTTTGCAAGAATCAACCTGCTTTGTGTGTGTGTGTGTGTGTCTATTTCTATGCTAAGATGGTGAGGGTGTTTTCTATAGAAAGTTTTCTGTTTATGTTTGTAGAGAGCTGATTTTAGAATTTTTTCCTGTTTTGGCACAAAATCCGAAATTTTTCAAAATTGTAACTCTCCCTATATATTATACGTACCACACAGCTACAACTAAAAAGTAGCCACTCCCAACAAACTGGCAGCATTTTTTGCGTCTACAGAGTTTGCTTGCAAAGAAGAGATTTGAGATTTGGTCCGCTGTTTTGTCTCCTCTTCCTTTTCTAGTGACCTAAACGTTCGTGACGACCATGAATCTCCTGAAGGTGCTTGAGACTGTAATAGATTGTGTTTAATACTAGCCAAGTTGTCACGGTTGAGACGAGACAACCCTCCCCTTTCGTCAACGCTTCTAACGTCCAACCTAATGGCTTCCAATTTCTTCAATATTTTTCGATGGTAATCTATTTTGTGTAAAGAGTAAGCCTTCAATAAGCTTTTGAACTTTTTTTCGACAAAATCGACAACTTCATCCTTTTCAAACAACATTTCGCCCGATATTCTTTTAACTTGTAAATTTAGCAGCTCTTGCACTTTGGAAGCATATTCTAAGGATCGCAAAGCTTCATCCACTTTTATGGGGTCCAATGAAGCTTTGTTTTTCATTTTGTTGGCGTGGATGTGTTTTGAATTGGTTTGTGCCTCAGCCTGGAGCAACTCACGCATAATTAAATACCGATTTGTAAGTGCCTCTTTTATTTCATAAAAATCATTGACAAAGTATTGGATTCCGTCGCCCAAGATACCCATTTCGCCTATAGATTCCACAAGCAAAAGATCGGACTGAGCTTGAACAACCTTTCCTAGTTTCTCCCACATATTTTTCATTCCAGGATGGGTCGTTTCAAATTGCGACAATACAGTCAATTTGTTTGACATGTCGTAAACGTGTATTGATAGCTGCTTTTCACTTTTAGAAACTTTGTCGAGCAGTCGATGCAACCTCTGGCATAACAAATAGGCATTCTTTATAGTTGGTCTAAACTCCGCCAATTCTTGGAATGGATCGTACGGAACTGGTAATTGTTTCAAAGTCTTTCTCATCAACCCGCTTGCAACTGAAGACTTTCTATTACTGTTTATGACACTGTATCCGAAATCATTCTCAACAAAGAATACAAACTCTTCGTCTCGAATAAGGATCGGATTCGATGTAATTCGGTTAAACCATTCTTGCCAAACAAACATCAACTGCTTCTTTTCATCCTCGCCGCCTGTGGGGTATGACGTAGTCGAGCTTGGTATCACTGGCACAAATACTTCCAAGTTTGACACTGCCAAGTATTTATTGAACTTGACTACCTCATTGAAGGTACGGCGGACATCATCGTACTCCCTCTGTCTAAATTTAGGAAGTCCATGCACACGAACAGACAATCGTAAAATTGGATTTTCAGGCTTATTTCTCTCAATGGAAACGAGCTTGATATTTAGACTGTACTTGCTGGTAAATCTTTCTGGTATCAATTTTCGTAAATCAGTTTTCGATATTAGGTCTTGGTCGGCCCCATTGGCTTCCCCAACAGGTTCAACATTCTCACTATTGTGTTCCTGCGCCTGCGTTTCTTCTGCTAGAGACTCAAACCGATCTCTCGGTTCTTCATCTGGTCTGGCAAATGGGTTGTTATCTTCAAAGTCGTCGACGTAATCCATTTAATGCTGATTGTAAGAGGGGAAGTTGTGGCGCTGGATGAACCGCTTTTATCAAAACCAGTGTGTCGGAGACTTGCCTCTGTTTTATTTTTTTTTATATTTTTCTCCTTTGTTAACAACGACATTAAAAGTCTCGTTAATATGCAGTACCTATAAATCTATTAAATCAGTATCGGAATCTAACTTATCCTTTCCATTTGCATCTTCATCACTAACCTCCTCCGAAGAGGAATCGCTGGCATCAACAACATGCTCATTTTTGCTTTCCTTTTCTTCAATTTGGCTGTGTAGAAATGCATTGTCTCTTGCGAAAAACGACGACAAACTAGGGGGAAGTTCAAGTTCACTTCGTTGTAAAGTGTTCTCATCAGCATACACCAAGAAGATATACTTATCATTTGGCTCATCGCGCAAGAAACCTCTAACCTCGTTGAAAGAACACTGAGTCGCTCTAAAATCTGTGACAATTCCATTAGATGTATCCGCGAGGTACAAAACCCAATCGTCGTCCCCTGTACTGGCCATTGGTCTATACGCATACTGTGTATGCGAGAGTACAGCACCAACCAAGTGGTACTTTGGCGGTATGTCCCATTCATCATCATTTCTGAGCTCTTCTATAATGTTTTCTTGGTTAGACGTATCGAGCTTGGCGTAATCTATGTTGATTGCTTTTAGAGCTTCATTTAATTGACTAGACTCATTTTTTATAGAATCAGACAACTTTTGAAGATCCTCGCATGCCTCTGTTTCACCAACTTTCTCGACATATTCTTTTGTTTTATCTAGGAAGCTTCGGATTTTCTTTCCTTCAAATGAACTCAACGCCATAATTCGTGACGTAATAGTGGCTCTTTTCTGCGAAGACAGGAGTCTTTTCCTGTCCATTTTCTCTATCAAGGGCTTGTACTTTGCTGTAAAAAGAGCAGGGTAGAATGACTCCTCGACATTGATAGATGGCACTTGGCTTCCTGTTTCACTGGGGGAAATTTGAATAGCTAAAACAGGTGCAAGGTCCTTGATGGCGTAGGCATCGGGAGAGCGCAACAATTTACTCAACGACTCCACCAACGTCGACTCTCGGCACTCGCTGTCAATCATGACAGTTTTGAAAAGTTTCAATTCGCGCTCGTGACTTGTTGCATGCGAGCTAAGAAGATCAAAGTCTTGGTCCAAAACTGATTTCACGTGTTTCTCCAAGTCGCTAGAAGCAGTATACACTAGGTCGTCCCAATCTTCAAACTCATGAGCCTTGAATGACTCAGACACTCTGTTGTAAAACCATTCGGAACTGATGAATGAGCGCTCACTATGTGCGGAAAAGAATCCAATGAGTCGTTGGATTGCAGCAATAAATGACTCACTCCTACTTGGGTCCAACCCAGTCGCCTCTTCTTCTTGTTCTGGGGTGAACCAATTCTCATCAAATGGTTGATCCACATCTTTACTCAATAGCAATTTGTTGAATGAGGGAATCTGGCAAAGTAGCACATATAACGGAACCACAAATCTTCCTGGAGAATTAGTCCATTTGGCAACAACTGCAGGGATGGTATCCTTTGTTCTCAAAAATGCCTCAGGATTTTTAAAAAGTTGAGATTCAGCCACCTCAAGTTGCTCAGACTCCGACCCCCAGCCACTACTATATGCATACTCCTGTGACTCCAGTAGTGGAAACAGTGGAATTTCATGAGGATTGGAGATGGCAACAGTGCCACTGTGACTATTGTAATCTTCATCAAACATTTGCGTTTCAGTAGGGTGTTTTTCTTCTGAATCACCAAACAAGTATCCAATTGCCTGCTCTAAGTCGTTATTAGCCTTCTGTAATGCGGATTCTGCTTGGTCACGGGTGAACCCCATTTCCACAAGCTGTTTAATTTGGGAATCCATAGTGGATGGGGTATGAAAGTACAAGTTAGCAAAGCTCACACTTTTCCTTTGAGAAACGAGAAACAGTGCACAAAATTACTCTGCAGAGGAGAACATGACAAAAGAAGAATTGTTGAAATCAAAGAGATAATTGGAAACATCACATTAGGTTGAAAGCATGCTTTTTCCTAAGTGGTTCGTGACTACCCACGGTATGACTTACTTGCTGGGGTAGATGGAAACCAGTGAGAAACAGGGGGGGTGGACGTTGATAAATACATTGCTCCAACAACGAGGAACAACATTAGAGATCCAACCATATGCCTCTCCAAAAAATAAAGCCACACATTAATCCAGTCACCAATTAGCTATTGCTTCTCCGTAACTTACACACTACCGTTCAAGCAATCGCTTATCTCCTTATCAGTGTTACTTTTGCTACGAAAATGACATACTGAATAGAAAAACGAAAAAAAAAAGAAAACAAGAAAAAAAAAGAAACAAAAAAAACTGAGACAAAATTTTCAAGAATTTCCCATCACTCTCTCTCTCTCTCATTGATGCAAATTTTGAGATTACTTGGTAAATCGACATACTTTAATCCCATTCCAAGAATCTTGACGCGTATTACACTCAGAAGATCTATGTCCGCCAACGCCATCACTCAAGAATTATCCAAGCTCGGCTTGAACCAACCGGAGCCAGCAAAGGATACTTACCCAGAATACAATGTCGTTGATGTGTTTAGAAATTACATTGGTGATGAGTTGAACCGTATCTCTGGAATTGATAAAGATATCATTGTTCAAGCATTGGATACTCCAAAATTACTTGATCAAGGTGATCTCATTGTCCCAATCCCTAAATTGAGATTAAAAGGTATCAATCCATCGGAAAAATCCAAAGAATGGGCCGAAAAATTCAACAAGGGTAAATTTATCAGCAATCTTGTGCCACAAGGGGTTTTCCTCCAATTCTTCTTCAACAAGTCTGTCCTTTTTGACTTGGTCATTTCTGATGTTTTGAAAAGAAAGACTGATTATGGATACTTGCCCTTGGGAGTTGGTAAGAAAGTGATTGTTGAGTTTTCTTCACCAAATATTGCCAAACCTTTCCATGCTGGTCACTTGAGATCAACTATTATTGGCGGGTTTGTATCTAACTTGTACGAAAAGATTGGTTGGGACGTTACTAGAATCAATTACTTGGGAGACTGGGGTAAACAATTTGGTTTATTGGCTGTTGGATTTGAAAGATATGGGTCTGAGGAGAAGTTAGCCAAGGACCCAATTAATCACTTGTTTGAAGTTTATGTCAAGATCAACAATGATGTCAGAAATGAAACTAACGAGGCTACTGGAGAAGCTCAAGAAGGCACTATTGACGCTTCTGAGCAGGACGAGAAAAAGATTCAATCTTCAACCAATGAAGAAGCAAGAGCATTTTTCAGAAGAATGGAAGATGGAGATGAGGCTGCGTTGAAAGTTTGGGCAAGGTTTAGAGATTTTTCAATTGAAAAATACGTCGATACTTATGCTCGTCTTAATATTGTTTATGATAACTATTCTGGAGAGTCACAAGTTCCACAAGAATTGATGAAGGAGGCCACTAAATTGTTTGAGGAGAAAGGGTTGGTTCATGTTGATCGTGGAGCAAAATTGATTGACTTGAGCAAATTCAATAAGAAGTTGGGTAAAGCTTTGGTTGAAAAATCCGATGGTACATCGCTTTACTTAACTAGAGATGTAGGTGAAGCTATCAAGCGTTACGATACCTACAAGTTTGATAAAATGATTTATGTTGTCGCATCGCAGCAAGATTTGCACTGTGCTCAATTTTTTGAGATTTTGAAACAAATGGGATTTGAATGGGCCCAAAATTTGGAACACATAAACTTTGGTATGGTTCAAGGGATGTCAACTCGTAAAGGTAACGTTGTGTTTTTGGATAACATTCTTCAAGAAACTAAAGAAAAGATGCACGAGGTTATGAAAAAGAATGAAGACAAGTACAAACAAATTGAAGATCCAGAGAAGATTGCTGATTTGGTTGGTATCTCGGCAGTTATGATTCAGGATTTCCAATCCAAGCGTATCCTAAACTACGAATTCAAATGGGATCGTATGACTTCTTTTGAAGGTGACACTGGTCCGTACTTGCAATATGCACACTCACGTTTGTGCTCAATGCAAAGAAAGAATGACATTACTGAAAAGGAATTGGAGTCTGCCAACTTTGACTTGTTAGTGGAACCATGTGCTGCTTCTTTGGTTAGAACATTGGCCCAATATCCAGATACTATTAGAAAAGCAGTGAAGAATATGGAACCATCAACTATTGTTACATATTTGTTCTCCTTATCGCACATTGTATCGCAGTGTTATGATATTTTGTGGGTTTCGGGACAAGAAAGAGATGTGGCTGTGGCGAGATTGGCCTTGTATGCCGCTACTAAGCAAGTTATTTACAACGGTATGACTTTGTTGGGTCTTACGCCTGTTGAAAGAATGTAGAGAGATGGAGTCAATAGATGAACGAATACCTTCTTTATTTCAAGCGTCACTGAATCTTCTGTACATGAGGATCATTCAAGTCGGTGAGCAAAGTACTGGTTAATACTTTAATAGAAAAGTGTGTAATACTAAACAGAGTCTGCAATGCAAGGTTACGTAATTCCATCGCAATTCAAAATATTGTACAAAAACCTCTGCATTTGCCAATCATATATATTTATATAACAGAATTCGCACATGGGGCGGGAAGAACTAGCAGCAAATAAAAATAAAAAAAATAAATAAATCAAAAAGACCCCTACTTTTTTCTTCAAGTTAACAAAGTGTTTTATTCATCAATTGAATCTACTTATTCCGCATAACAATGTTCAAATACACCTCACGTACATTATTGAAAGCTACTTCATCTGCAGTTAAACCAGCTGCTGCTTCCATTGGTGCCACCAGAACCAAATATTCTTTGCCCGAATTGGATTATAAATTAGACGCTTTAGAACCATACATCAGTGGACAAATCAATGATCTTCACTATAACGTATGTATTCTTTCAGACAAGAAGATAAAAACAAAAAAGAAACAAAGGAATTCGAGTATGACTTGGCTACTGGGAACGTTTTGTACTAACAAAAATAACTATCTAGAAACACCACAAGACTTATGTCGACAACTTGAACAAATCAATTGAAAGTGCAGTTGAAGCCAAGTCCAAGGGTGAAGTTAAGAAACTCGTTGCTTTGCAAAAAGCCATCAACTTCAACGGTGGTGGTTACGTCAACCATTGCTTGTGGTGGAAAAATTTGGCTCCTCAAAGTGCAGGTGGCGGTCAAGTTCCAAGCGAAGACTCTGCCTTGGGTAAGCAAATTTCTCAACAATTTGGATCAGTCGATAAGTTGATTGAGGTCACCAATGCCAAGTTGGCTGGTATCCAGGGTTCAGGATGGGCTTTTATCGTCAAGAATAAGGAGAATGGTGGTCAAATTGAAGTCATCACCACTGCCAATCAAGACACCGTTACTGACCCAAACTTGATTCCATTGGTTGCCATTGATGCATGGGAACACGCCTACTACTTGCAATACCAAAATGTCAAGGCTGAATACTTCAAGGCTTTGTGGAACGTTGTCAATTGGAAGGAAGCTGAAAGAAGATTCGAATTTTAAGTAGGTGTGTAGTGTGATACATTGAAATACATTCAAAGACAATCTAAGTATTGGTATGGAAGTGTAGAGATGCGTAAAAGAATAGACAAGCAGTCCGCTATCCAACGGGTTACACGAATCTAAACTGTCCTAGCCACAGTTTTCGTTCTTTTCATCGATCCGTTTCTCGGTTCCGAAAATCTCGTCTGCAAAATGAAATGTGTCACTTTATGCTCCTTACACATAAATAACGTCAAGAAAAGAGAATGCTATATCAAAGAGAGTTCCAGAATTGAAAAGTATATATTAACAGTTGAAACGAATAATAAATAAAACTTTTTGTGAAAGAAAGCAGACATTGTCAATGACAAGCCACTTTTACTTAAACGTTGAAATTCGAAAACAGGGCATGCAACTCGTCACCTTGTGGGATTTCGGTGTAGTAACTACTTGAAGCACGCTTAAGTGCAGGTATCAATTTATCCCATCTCAATATCCTCACCTCTTTGTCAAACCCTCTTGGTTTACGTATATCGTATGCCATTATTCTTTTCGCTAGCTCCAGACGATAATCTTGGTTTGTGGGTTGTGAGTTGGAATCCATGTCGAATGAAGGGTATGATGACGTGGCGGCGGTGGCGGCAGTGGCGGCGGCAGCAGCAGCAGCAGCAATGTTGCTGTTCGAAGACACGCTGCTCTCCCTTCTCGCTGAGATGGAATTCGAGCCCATTGAGGAAGTACCAGATGATACAGAGGACGACTCACTCATTCTTGAACTGATTGACTTCTTGGACCAAAATGGCACCAAGTTGGATCTGACTCTACCTCTTTCTCTTCTTCGCTCACCGGCATCGGCAAAAGCACTGCCAATCAACAACTCAACAATTTCAATCACCTCAACTGAAGTTATGTAATACTGATAATTGCGACCGGTTTCCGGGTCAGTATTGACAAATCGCTTGTTTCGCAATCCTTGCAATTTCAGTGGACTAGGACCCGCTTCATCATCGGATGATTGTGATTCGTACTCGTCATTTGATCTAACATCACACTCCAAACACGACACTTCAACAACATCGATGTTGGGTGGTGGTGGTAAAGTGATTGGGTTTTCGTTAGCACTACCAACGATGCTAAAATTAAGGGTCAATTGGGGCCCATTCTGAATACGTTCAATACGTATGATACGACGACGATCGTCCTTCTCCAGAGCAGACCATTTGGGACAACATACGTCTTCAACGGAAGCACCAACCAAATTCAATTCCACCGGTAAGAAAATTGAGCTGCTTTTGAGTGCTTCTTTGGGTGGGCGTGTGCTGCTACCACCAGCAGAAACCCCGCGTACTATACGATACCTCTTTTTATCCAGTGAAGGGTGTTGATGTATGGCGGATGTTGTGAGTACTGGGGATCTGGCCTCCTTTTTCGCTGGTGGGCCGCGACGCTGTCTTTGAGTAGGTGACTTTTTGATTGGTTGCTTTTCCGGAACTTGCTGACGCGTAGTGGTAACGGATCCTGGTGAGCTTGCAAGCAGGAGTTGGTCACTTGACACGGCTGACAAGGGAGGTTGATTGCCAAATGATGAGGTGTTGTTGTTCACGCCATCAAAGTAGACTGATGGTGAATGCATGCCACCCCCGACGAAGAATTGAGCTTGTGGCGAAGATGAAATAGGAAGTGACGGTGGTTGATTAAACATTGAGGTTGTGAATGGCCCTTGTGGAGGGTATTGGGTATTGTTGTCCAAGCTGGATGCATTAGTGGGGTAGTTTAAGTTGTACGTTGAAGAATGTCCATTATCCAAATGTTGAGTGAAAGATTGAATCGATGAGGAGACGGATGATGATAATGGGTAGTGGTACTGTGATGAAGATTGGTAGGACAAGTTCTCAATAGACTGCTCTGTTATGGCATTTTGTGGTTGATACAAGTTTGAATTGTTATTAATATTATTATTGTTGTTGTTGTTGTTGTTGTTGTTGTTGTTACTGACGGCCGACACCGGAGTCACAGCGCCTAAATCGACATTGATTGACTGTGAGTATATATTGTTGGCATAACTTGAAATATCCTGAACGCCGTTGGTGTCTGAAGTTGTCACATAACCAGCTGTAGGTGTTAGTTCGTCGTTAAACAAATCAGGCTGACTTTCATCTAGCAAGTAGTTTGTAGCAGTTGTAGCGTAATTTGGTGGGAACCCTTGCGTAGAAGACGACGCGTCATTGACGGCTTCATCCACTGTATATACAGGATTGGAACTGTTTGTTGCATCGGAGTATTCATTAGGATCTAGCATATCAAAGCGCGTATATGGGAGTAGTGGTGAACTCGCAATGAACATAGGATTGGAATCTGATATTGTGAGAAGTTGAGGTGCTAGTTGAAGTAAGATCCTTCTCGATATATATATATATATATATATGTATATGTATACAACGAGGAAGGATTAGTATGTTGGGGTGTTTTCGTGAATTGGGTAATCACGTTGGTGTATTATGCCCCTTTCTATGTTGAGATGGCGGTGGACGTGAAGTAGCTGTAGTGAAATGTACAATTAGCTAGAAGTTCAAAGGGTAACGATGTGTCGTGCTTTATATCCTATAGAACCAAGGCTATGTTGGATGAGAGGGTTTTGGTTTTTGAATGACCCTTCTCTTCTATAGTGCTGTTGAACTGAAGTTGGCAATTGAAAAATTCATGACAAAATCTACGGAGGAAACAATGGTCTCTATATATATGTATATATACAGATGTCGATCTGTGGAAAAGAGCTATACAGGACAAGGGCAGATTCACAATCAACGTACAAATACAAAAACCCATAAATTTAAAAATTAAAAAAAAAAAAATATGTATATGTATAATAAAATAAAAAAAAAATTTTACACTACGTAGGTTAAAGACTTAAAATCCGGTACACAAACCACGAACAATATACATACTTAACGTATGCCTTAATGAAGAAAAGGAAAAGTCTATAGTGTTCGTACAAATCTAACAACCAACAGCAAGCAATCTCAACTACAACTGTAGTCCAAAAGTGCAGTATAGCAAAGCAGTGCCTATCTATCTGTGTATTACTATTGCTAATATTGTTTTTATACCTTGCTATTGTAGTTCATTATTATTTTTATTCCTACTACAGTATAGTAGCAGATATTATATTTCCACTATTGTCATCAAGCAGTATAGCCCCTGATGCAGATACAGTAGGAGATTGAGTAATAGAAGTATGTGAGTGAACAAAATATACTGTCACACAAACTGCACAGTAAAAGTGTATTACCTATTATATGTAATTACCTAGTTTTGTGTATGCGTGCACTTGTACACAATTATTTTCAATTAATTTTTTTTTTATCAAGTTTTTTTTTTTGTGTAGCAACAGGGGGAAATTTGTTTCCTTTTTTTTTTTAATTTTAATTTTGATATTGTTCACGTACGGCTCTTTTCTTTTCCTTCACCCATTTCTTTTTTCTTCTTTATTTTTTTTTTTTGCTTTGTTTTCTATATGTTCTTACGATGACGACATCAGCCTCAGTCTACAATATTCCGTTACTGACATCTACTCATAATCACATTGTATAGGACGAAGTTTCGGAAAGATACATTATCCGTGTAATTGATCACTCGATCCTTGTTTTCGTTTCTATTTTGAAGTCTGAGACATCACAAGCCACACTGTTGCTATGTTGTGGCGAGGAACTGAAAAAAAAAAAAAACTTTTGAGAAAGAGGTGACTTCTACACTTCCGTGCCTTTCGTGATTCTTCCATGTATGGCTAGTTAGTCTCTCGGAATACGCTAACTTTAGGTGATCGTTTAAACTTTACTGTTTGCTTTTTAAACTTTCGTAATCGGATCAAGATCAAGAGCCCATCACCGAAAGTTTCTTTTTTTTTTTTTATTCGAATAAACTGCAAAAATTGAGAAAGCAAAAAGAAAAAAACAAAAAGAAACGAGATATAAACCAATGAATTATAATTTATCGGAGTTCTTACCCAAAGAGGAGAACATGGCTGCTTTTACAAAAACTCTTTTCTGTTTCCTCATAAACGTCACTGGCAACAGCGGATATGTGACAATGTACTGAAAGAAGGGGAGGGGAGTGGAGAGTTTGTGGCGTTTCTCCTTTGGGACTACACTTGAAGGCGATTTAAGGTTTTACGCTTTTCGTTTTATCTTTGTGGTTGGTAAAGAACATTTTTAGGTTGAGGAATTCACCGTTTCGGTTGCTAAAACGGAACGCTTTCGTAATTCCTCCCCCCCCCGTCTCTCTTTCTTCCTCGATTGATGAAATGGACCGCGGGGTGTTGCAGATCCATCGTGTTGCATTTTTCCGGGTTACAATCACAATCCAGGGTTTGACACCAATATGACTGTACTTATTGTCGTACGAGCGTATATACCCCTCACCAACAAATATACTATGATCTAACTCGCCTAACGAGTGAGAGTGCTTTGGATACCAGATAAAGCACAAACAGATGCTGAAAAAACAGTCTATATCATCCACGCCGAAAGCGGAAAAGCCTGGAAGAATGCTATCGTTTGTTGCATGTGATTATCGGTAGTCCCCTCGAACTGAAGACCGAGTAGGGCACATTTCCGTGACTCTAAAACTCTGTAATTTGGTGTATTCGTTTGTTTTCGATGATGTTGTCCTTAGGTACAGCCACTTCGAAAGGATGAAAGAGTGACCGCACAAAAAAACAAAATGCACAAAATGGCTATTGTATGCAACATAAAGGTTTATGCCAGTTACTTTTTCGTTTGTGTGAATACTCGATGATCTTGTCAGTGCATATACGTGTAACCATAGGAGAGTTTAGACCACGCATAAGAGGGGATGCGTTGTGTGTCTTGAACGACAAAAATAAAATAAAATAAAAATATTTCAGTAGTTTATCCGAACTGCATCATCCTGGAGAAAGTAGTTGCTCGTTACTTTTCCGTAGGAATAGTAAAGGAACATCTTGAAACACCATCTGCTTATGAAGAGTATAGGAAGGGAAATGGTCGGTATGAAGCGAATCTCTTCGAAAATAGTGGTTCAGAACGTTCGGCTTCTAAAGCGAATATGTGTAGGGTGATACATACTCTCACGAGATAAAGTTAGAACTGGATTAGGCTGAAAAATAGCACGGGTGACAGTTTCGGAACTACTTTCCTCTTTTCCTCCTTTCATGTAGTTCTTCCGTCTCGTAAACCTCTCTGTAATGGTTTTGTAACCTAAAGAAGGAAAGTTTATAAAAATAAGGTGAAAAGATAATAATATTTTTTTGTGGAAGAGAAAAAAGAAATGTGACCTGGCCCTGGCGCAGCTCAAACAAGGCAGTAAGCCTCGGATGCATACAATCGTAATAAATCCTGAAAGGATCTTATCACCAACGCAGCCCACACTTTAAGTCAATCGTTGGACGTAACTCAAGTTCGGACCCTTGAAAGCCCTTCAACACAATATTCGGTTGGTATCCACATCGTGTCAGTTGGATCCAAATGCAGATGTCACAATTTGCAGGATGGTACGTCATACAGTGGACACAGGAGGGGCACACAGAAGTACCGAGGAGAGAGAGGGGCAAAATAGCAAACGTAAAATTAGTCAGCAACAATAGCAAAGTGGAGTAACTTCGCAGGTACACTGTATTTAGTAAAGTTGACGGGGAAATGTGTGGGACGCGAGATGTGCTATATTTGTACGGCGTTTTAACAAATTGGTTCTTTTTTTTTTATTATTATTTTTTTCTCTTCTCTCTTCTTTTTCTTTATCTTGATCAATTTATTGATTTTCCAGTAATATTTTTTTATTTTTCTTTTCTTTTTATTTTTCTTTTTTTTTTGCTATGCTTCTTTTTTTTTTTTTACGTCTGTTGCTATTTCCTCTATTCGTAATTTATCAAATGCACAGTGGGTTGAAGAAAATCACTTTTATTTTTTGTTGTTTTTGCTTTTGCAAGAGTGTATATTACGAGGCGGGACAGGGCTCATAACACACTGTCGGATTATCCTTGTTGCCGAATATTATTCCCAAGAAAAGCAATCAATTGAAATCAAAAACATGTCGCACAATTTATCAAGATAATCCTATCAACTGTATTTTTGTTTATTTTTTATAACTTAAACTCTCGATCTCATCGAGTCATAATCAAGACAGCGCTTATCTGGCGGATATACATGTGTTTATTGTTGAATTTAATTGAGACGGATTTAATCGTGTCTTTTTCTCCCAAAACAAGAAAAAATAAAAAATTAAATAAACAATAAAAGGTGACCTCACCTTTCTCTTCCCCCTATTGTTCTCTTTTTTGGAGAAGGAAGAGAAAGGAAAAAAAAAAAAAAAACAAAGAAAGAAAGATAATAAAAATAATAAATGAGAGTAAATCATTTTTCCCATAGGACAAAACTTAGAGTTTGCCAAGTTTTGTGTAATGTCAGCTTCATTTTGGCTTGCTTGGGAGAGATGGAAAGGTGGAGAAACAGGTCAACTAGCCAATCGAGCATGCTGCCAACAGTGGATCATGACTTTAGGGCTGGTCAGCCTCCTGGCAAAGCACTATTATCACAGCATCCCTGATAACAGATCAACTGCAAAGAAAATCGTTAAATCACATAATAAATTGTTTGCGGAAAAAAAAGAAATCCTAAAAATTTCGATCTAGATGTGAAGAAAGGGGGAGTGTAGAGGTGATGCAATTGCAAAAGATGATGATCCACCCCATGTGGGCACGTTTGTTTTTTTTTTTTTTTCTTTCAAAAACAGAAAAGACAGATAAATTGGATTGTTGTTGTTGTTGCAATCTAAACAATAGACGATCTCTAACCTTTTAAGAACGCAACCAAGTTGCAATGTGACGTTGCCCTAGCACGGAGATTCTGTTAGAAACCTTACCGGTGAACAATGTCAAGGTCAGAATCCCGTGATGTTCCTTATTTTTTTCTTCTGATAAGAGCAAAAACCCAGTAAGAGTTTTTCCTTCTTTTGTGAGTCTTTGTCGCTTCTGGTACCCTTGGCTTTGTAGATGAGTGCCCCTCCCCCTCCCCCCACCTCTACGTGACCTATTGCTGAGCCACAGTCACACGGATGTGCAAATCAAGGTACGTCAGTAGACAAGACAGTATTCTTTATTGTTCTCCCTGGTTTCTATTTTGCTTTCTATTGTCCTCCTTGAACCACTAGGAAAAGACTTTAACCGGAAAAAAAAAATGAACAGACATTGAATACATTAGTAAGCGTACGCGCAACTCGGGAAAAAGATGCTCAAGTGGAGAGCACCAAGGTGAGGTTTAGAGGGTGTGTAAGGGCCCAAGAGGCAGCCTTGATGGGTCATGTCTGGCAATGTCCGCCCACGCCCTCAGTGTAAGAGGTACAAGGCACGCCCTAGAATAATAGATTGCCTGCACAAAAGTAAACCGAGTTAACTACTGTTGCTCAATGTGTATAGCGACGCCTTCAAAAATTAGTCGATCGGAAATAACATCTAAAACGTTTCACCTGAACCACTGTGCAGGAAAGTAGACTGGCAAAGGAAGGAAATACTCTACTAATTCCAATCTAAGCCTCCTAAATGATTAAAACGAAAGAAAGAAAGAAAACGTTTCCAGCTGCAGAACGTGATTAGTTCTCTTTTTCTTTATCACACAATAGGGGGGAGAAAAGTGTGCGTGTAAACAGTCTTGTGTTCTTCACCATATATGTATCCCTGCATGTAGATTGGCTTTTGTAGAAAGGAAGAACAAATTTGAATTTGAACTAGGCGTAGAGATGCAGAACATTTTGGAGGACCTATTGTTCCCACTTTCAATCAATTGAGTCTCACATTACATTAACAAGTCAGAAAAAGTTGCAGTAGACACATATAAGGCACTTGCATTAAGAAGCAAAGAGTGGGTAGGCAGTCACAGAATGATTATATGTAACTCTACATCGCCTTTTTTCAAATATCTTCTCTTGTTCACAAAACCAAACCTTGATCACGGCGTTTTTTCTGTGAAAATAAATTACCAAAGATCTCAATCATAATCTGTTCGATTTCATATATGTGAAAAAAAAAAAAAAAAGACAAAAAAACTGGTGCCGTGTGAAGGGGCGGAGTGTGTTCTGGAGCTAAATCTTCCGCTATTTGCACCAAACTAGAATAGAAACATGGATAAATTTGGTGTACCACTGGCTAGTTTTCAATGTCCCACTCCCTACAGTAATAAAACCCCCCTAGAGCCGTCGCTCCCGGAGCGTTAACTGTCACAGCATCTGACTATCTAGGAAAAACAATTTTGCCTCTTCTGCGTGCAAATAGGACTTTGTGCATAATGCAAGTGAAGAAAAATTGTTTAGGGCGAACTGGACAATACACTAAAAGAGAGAGAAAAAAAGAAAAAAAAAGAAAAAAAAGAAAAAAACCAATGCAGAAAAATAAGACGACGTGTTTTTGCCTCAAAAGCAAAGCATTCTCAAGTGAATCATAGAGATATGCATCCTAGCTATAAGGGTGTATAATATGGATCACTAAGTGATAATACAACAGAATTTGAGCGCCTTAAGTGGTTAAAAAACTAGCCTCATTTAATAACTCAGAGCTGAGCTCAAGAAAGGGATCCGGTACCTCTTTTATCAAGAAGCTAAATGCTAGTCATATATTTGTGAGTCAAAATTGGGATCTGCACCGAAGAAAATTATAGGCAGTTTTCTCTTCTTTAAATGCTTATTCAAAACACTGTGTTGAATTTAGTTTAGAGCCTGCATGATGCATACTTTGAAATTACTTAAACAAGTACAAGTTACGAAAATTTGATCATAGCACATTGATTAATTCTAGGACGTACGTCCTGAACATGGAAATGCTAAGTTAAGAAAAGGTATTACTATAAGTGGCTTGAGATGTTTAGTAGGTGCCACATCTCTGACACACTGCCAAGTCGACTTGGTATGGAAAGATAGTGAACAACCTTCAAAATGTATTATCGACACAAAAACACGACCGCGAAGCTTGTCTAATGCCGAGGTTAAACTCCAACTGACCTTTTGTAGAGGACCTCCCATCAGATAAGTTTGGAGATGTCTTGAGTTGAGAAATGGGAACTGACAAACGCGGGCCGTAGTGTAAACATGCTTCTTTGTCAGACTTTCTCTTCTCTTTATCCTGACCAATGTATGAACGTTAGAGCAGATTTTCATGTGATTTTATTCCGAAACTGTAAGCTCTGACACATGGCATCAACAGCACAAAAGTATAGCTTGTGCAAATAGGAGTATTTCAATTCAAAGTCTTTCATAGACTATGATTTCTTGTTGGGGTCAAGGAAAAGTTGGTTAGCCAATCTGGGCCAGTATCGAACGGACTTCGTAACATAACCGACTTCGGAATTCCAGCAGAATACTCGAATGCTCGTAAGTGAAGAGAATTCTCCACAACGTAACCCAATAACGAACGAGATGCAGAGACCCGAAGGAGCAATGTCACTACAATATTTGACCTTTTGGTACTATATATATATATATATTTCTTCAAGTCAGTTGAATTTCAGATACAAAGATTTCAACTCAAAAAAAAAAACAACAACAACAAAGGGCAGCCTACTTAGTGGTTGTAGTGGTTCTCTTTTGGTCATATTGTGGGTAGTACTTGTTGAACAAAAATCCGTCAAGCAAAACCAAACCAGTAATGACACCAGCATGGATACCTACCACGGCATTCAGGTCACTTCTAATTCTGTATCTTTCCAACCAACCCAAGTAACCAGCAGCAGCACCACCAGCAGCAACAAATAATTGAGTCACAACAACTGGGTTTTGCAACTCAATTGCAGTTCTTGAAGCAACTTGAGAGACACCGGCTTGAATATCTTCACCCGATTTTTGCAAAAATTGACCAAACTGTTGAGCACCTCTTTGTATTGAAGCACTGAGCTTGGAGAATAAGGATCTTCCTTCTTCTTCCAAACGGTCCAATTCTTTTCTAGTGGCTTCGTAAGCTTCTTGGCTCTTTTCAGCCGCAGCATCGTATATAACTTCACCTCTTTCTTTAGCAGCTTCATACAACTCTTTGCTAGCGTGTTTCAAATCCTCAGCTTCCTCTTCAGCAGTCTTCTTGGCTTCTTGAGCTTTGGCCTTTCCTTCCTTCTTCAATTCTTGAGCTTTTGCTTGACCTTGGTCTTTCAACTCCTTAGCGTCAGCAGCAGCTCTGTTTTTGGTGTTTTCGGCATCCTTTTTGAGGTCCTTCTTGAGTTGTTCGTGGGATGGTGGGTTGCTGTTGGCCATTTTTTTTTTTGTTTTTTTAGTTTTGTTGTTCTATATTAGTTGAATTGCACCTGAGGGGGGGGGGGCGTGTAAGAAAAGCAGCTGATATTGTAAAGTTGTATGAATTGACAGATAGTTTGTATGAATATATCTCTCAATTGGTAATCTAATGGATGTCAGGAAGCAAAACTGTTGACACTATAGTTACTTTCGACGTTTCAGGTATCTTCAATAGACTAACTCGACTGTTGTGATTAAAAGTTTTTAGAAATGATGACTACGAACCCTCCCCTTTTATATAAATGATTAAACAACAGAAAATTTAGAAAACAATGTGGGACAAAATAGATTAAAATAGCAATCATAGAAAAATAAAAAAATAAAAAATAGGTTAGGTCCGTAATAGATAATACAACGAGAGAAAAAGAAGGGTCGGGGTCATGTGCGAGAGCATTCGAGAATCCTAAGACTTATCGCGACGAGACAGAGTGTATAGGGTGTCTTCCTATGTCCACTAGTGGGCCAGAGTCTGGGCTAACGTACTGTGTCACATGTCCTTCCATTCGGATTGTAACAATCACAATGCGACAATATATAATTTTACGACACCTGATTTTTTTTTTTTGGCCATGTCTTGTGACCTCCCTCCTGTACTAACTCGTATCTACTCCGACTTTACCTCGAACCGTCTTTACCTTGTAAAGTGTCTACAGCTAAAAAAACAAATAAAACAAAGTTAGTCTTTCCTCCAACCGGGGTTTATTGAAGCCCCTTCGCCACACAGTCTCGGCCACACACAGAAAACAAGATTTTGATTGCTTCTATATCAGCTCTTTGTGCGAATAACGTATTACGTGTTGTACTCCGTACAACAGACCAAGTTGTCACAAAACGAAAAGAAGAGAGAAGCCGGAATTAACAAGGAGACAAAAAAAAAAACAAGAATCGACAATCCAACTATTAATAGTGACGGCGACTGCCTTTGATGTTATCTCTCAAAGTTGTCTTTATCCCTTCCACGTAGCCGCCCATGTAGAATGGGCAATCAATCTTTGTATACTCAAGTTCACTGAATATATCTCTTATATTTATCACGTGCACAGGGCTTTTGCCCTTAATCTCGTTTATGCCCCCCCTCAAGCTGCGCGAGACAACAAGAAAAAGAAAAAAAAAAAATTTCAACTCGTTGTACCAACACCCCTTCTACCCTTCCTACAGCATAGAAAACTTTGTCGATCGAAAACCAACACCCCGGCTTTCCACGTAACATTCCGACAAGTATTATCATACAAGAACAAAAATGTCAGCAGAAGCTCCAAAAAGACAATTCGGTGGTAGAAGAAGAGGTGGTCCAAGAAGAGGAGGAAGAAGAGAAGAAGAAAAAGGATGGACTCCAGTTACCAAATTGGGTAGATTGGTGAAAGCCGGTAAGATCACCAGCGTTGAAGAAATCTACTTGCACTCATTGCCAGTTAAGGAATTCCAAATCATTGATTTGTTGTTGCCAGAATTGAAAGATGAGGTCATGAAGATTAGATCTGTTCAAAAGCAAACCAGAGCTGGTCAAAGAACCAGAATGAAGGCTGTTGTTGTCATTGGTGACTCCAACGGTCACGTTGGTTTGGGTATCAAGACCGCCAAGGAAGTTGCCTCTGCTATCAAGGCTGCTATTGTCATTGCTAAATTGTCAATCATCCCAATCAGAAGAGGTTACTGGGGTTCTAACTTGGGTCAACCACACTCTTTGCCATGTAAGGTTACCGGTAAGTGTGGTTCCGTTACCGTTAGATTGATCCCAGCCCCAAGAGGTAAGGGTATCGTTGCTTCCCCAGCCGTTAAGAAATTGTTGCAATTGGCTGGTGTTGAAGATGTCTATACCCAATCCAACGGTTCTACTAGAACTACTGAAAACACCTTGAAGGCCACTTTCGTTGCCATTGGTAACACCTACGGTTTCTTGACTCCTAACTTGTGGAAGGAAACTCCATTGGTCCCATCTCCATTGGAAGTTTACGCTGAAGAAGCTGCCGCTGGTAAAAAGAGATACTAATTTATTTAGTTAATGAATAGATAACTGTACTCTTTGATAAAACTTGTAAATTCTACAATCTTCTTTTTTATAAAACTCCTTGACAATCCTCTTTGGGATTGCAAATTCGTAACATTCAAACACACTATATCGTACTAAGAACGAAAAAAAATAAAGAAAAAAAAATAGACACCTTTTCCTCAATAAACGCCTCTACTGTTGAACAACTTGCTCCATAACTTGATCCTCACCAACGGCAAACTGACGCTCGTCAACTTGTTGCTGACCTTGATTTCGAGAATCTTTTGTCCATGTGTGTGACACCATCGTTCTGCCTTGGGGGTGTTGATACATACATGTGGCGATGTGACAAGCAGCTCCGAAACGGCACATTTCTCTAAACGGATGATTAAAAGTACAATCGACTCTTCTGCACTCTAGCCCAGCACGACAAGGAACACTCGATGTCGCATGCCTTCTAACACACTTGAAATTGGTACAGTTCATACCGTACTTACATTGCTCCAAAGCGAGTTCATTGAGTGAAGGTAATGGCTTAACACCAGCATTTGGGGCCCTTGGATGAGCCTTTTTACACTCATCATCTTGGCAATTAATTCCACCAGGACAAAATTCCAAAGTCTCAATTTTAGCCTCAGGATTGGCTGGAGTAGGATGGGCAAACGGACAGTTTTCTTTGGCACATTTAGCCCCAAATTTACAAGTTCCTTGCTTCAACTCAATCAGTTTCTTCACTCTCTCTTGATACTCCTTATTTGACTCCTCCAATTTGGCAATCAACTCTTGGTCTTGATCTGGGTGCAAATAATTACAAGTTCCAGGTGGATTGGGACACCTTGGGTAGGCAAAACACTCCTTGGTTGGATGCGCCAACTCACAATTTGCAAGTGTACATTTGGGGAACCTAGGACACCTTCCTTTTGGTTTACGAGCTGTGAACTTTGTTACACCATTTTCGTCATTGTTCTCAGAGGCGATAAACTTCTCCAACTTGTCTGTCACATGTGCTGGCCTCTTTACGTTTGATCCACGATCGTTTGCTCTGGTCTTGTTGATTCCACCCTTGTTGATTGAGCCATGGCTTCCATTACGGGCATTGGAATCTGTACCAAATCTCTTGCTTCTCAAAGCAAGCTTCTCCTGTTCCGACATTCGTTTAGGCCCCGCTGGAACACTGGGTCCGGTAGGACGCGGCTTGGTGTGTATACTACTTGGTGGTGTTTCTGCTGTACTTAGCGCATGAGGTCCTTGGGGTACGCTTGGTGTAGAGCTAGGGACATAGTTTTCCCCAGCGGTTTGACTTGCCGCCGAAGGGACATCATACTCATCTCTCCCACTATTGCCCGACGCTTGGCCATGCCTGCGCTGAATATTGGCAATCTCTTCGAAAACAAGGTCTAGGAAGTTGGGTACACTTGAGAAGTCCCATACATCCGACAACTCTTTGAATACTTCTTCTTTGGTGTCTTTATTGCTGATTAAAAATGTGATGTACTCAGCGGTGTCGTATGCGTCATCATCTTTTAATTCAAATCTATTTTTGATCTCGCTCTCTAATCCAGGTTTGAGCTCTCTTAGAATATCCGAGGAAACGTTGAGTGGCATGTCGTTGGATATGTGGTAGTTGAAGTGATGATGACGATGGTGGCGTATTAGTAATGATTGATGATGGTAAGTTTTGGAAATGTCCTCTTTTTTATTTTTTTTTTTTTTTTTCTTTCTTTTTCTTTCTCTCTTCGTGTGTGTGTGTGTGTGTGTGTGTTTCTGTCATTCATCCCTCGCTTGTATGTTACATATAAATAACAGTTTCAAATTGCATTACATTTCTATACTATCCCTACACCCAGCTAAACTAATCTAAACTTGTCCTCTGATATCTCACCAAGTAAACCCTTTATATCAATCAACATCTTGTCCAATTGCTCGGAGATAGTAGAAGCAACCAAAATATAAGAGTACAACAATATGAAATCATCATTTCTCAACACAAATCCATTATCTTGTTGTTGTCTAATTTCACTCAATTTGTACAACATTCGATCTTTAGCATGTTCAATAGAAGCAAATTTCTTTGGAAGTGAAAATCCCAACTTCATGGCACTGGCAATCATGTAGAATACCAAGAATATCCTCTGCTCAACCTCACCCCTCTCTACTTCAATATACTTCAACACATACTCTTCGTTGCTGTTGAGTTTGGGATCTGCTTTAATCAACAAGTCCAAGTTCTGAAAAGCATCAATGATGGCCGAGGTCTCTTTGATTAGTTTAGCGTACGTTTGCGTCGGAAATTTACCCTTCAACCGAAACTCAACAGGAGCTTGCTTGAGTAAAGTCTCACATTCAGACAAAATCTTGTTTGTCCCTTCCTCAGCTTTGAAACCCACCAACTCCATTGTATCAGGGTTATACTCTAAGGGGTCACTGTTCCAAATGACCCCCAATCGCAACCACAAGATCGACAACCCATTCTTTAACCTAGATCTTGCACTATTTGGCAAAAAGCAAGTTGCCATGGTCAATGCCCAAATTATGCCAATGGAGACCGCAGCAAAACGATGGAATGCGATTTCGCCAATAATTGGGTTTTCCCCACCTTCAAATTCATCCTCCGCATCCTTTTGAAGCATACTGTACGAGTACAACATTGTCAAGTTGTACGTCAACAAGATAAATCTTCCAAAAGGGTTGTTTTGTTTCCAGAATAAAATGATGTAGAATGACGGAATTGAGATTAGGATACCAGTGAACGCCAAAACGTAGACATTTGCTTCGAATATTGTCCACGTGGAAAAGGCAACGAATGCGCCAATGAAAGTACCTATGATCCTCCACTTAACTGTCATTGAGGTCCCGCCCAATGACTTATTCATCATAATACAATAAACAGTCAACGCCCATTCGAGTCTCCAATTTTCGAAAATTTCCTTTGTGGCTGGAACGAATGCAAAAAGTGACAAACATGCAGCACCTAGCCCCACACGTAAACCAAACTGCACATCAGCACGTTTCAAGTACTTGAACCTGCTCCAAATACGATAGCTAACACGTTCTGTAAAAGAGTCAAAGTGTGGTTCTTCCTTTGGTATGCCATATTGATCTCGCAAGTCATCCAACGCTGCATGTAAACTTGTGGCATTAGAATGGTGATCTTTAGCAAATTTACCCCGTTCAAGACGTATCCACGACCAAGACCTTGGAGCAGTTTTTGCGTCGTGATGCTCGTCAAACAATTTCAAACACTCAAGCATCCCACTAGCAAACTGAGATAAGAGGGTGGCAAAGTTCCCACAACATGCTGCCACTTCTTCCTGGTCGGCTTTAAAGTCAAAGTTTTCGTTTTGAGTAAATGACTCTTGGTTATAAATATGCTCGAATGACAAAACCTGTCGCGTTTGGTACATTTCTATTGCACTAGCCAATGCAGTTTGGTAATTCGATGAATCAGTCATTTCTGCAGCAACAAACCCACCAAGAGGGAGACTGTTGAGTACGTCTCTCACAGTAAACACTAAAGACTTGATTGAAGGGGCCAAATGATATACAAACAAATCGAATAGCTGTAGGGATGATGCCATATCGGTTTCCTCAACCCTTGTTCTGGGGGAATTGAATTGACCTATGGAGGAAGAGCTTTCCAACTCATCACTATTGTAGCTCCGTAGTGTTGATGCTGTGCTTTTCTCTCCTGAGGTGCTACTTAGCAAGCTCCACTGCATCCTTGTGGCTGAACTCAAAGCTTGTAAATGACGTGCTAATGACACAGTTGATTGAACTAATCTCTTGTAGTACTCCCATTCTGCTTCTTTGCCCACTAAGCATAATTCGTACTTTGTTTCCTCTAAATACTGCTGCATTGAAGTGACATTCTTTTTCAATTTGTCAATCAATGCCTCATCTCTTGCGTTCAATTGTTCTCCTGCCACAAATCGCCTAGTTAGAACCAACAACAATTTGGAATAGTTTTTAAAAGAGTCATTCAAAGTATGCTGTAGCTCTTTGGTTGCACTCTCAGGCCATATCAAATAGCAACATGCAAGGGAAATGATACATCCGGTGATCACCACTTTGAACGTCGCCTCGATCCTTTCAGTGGGGATACTACCGGAACTTATACTACCCTCCTTCACAATACACGAGACAATAGTAATGCAAGCTAGAGAGCAAGCGGTATTGAACGTTTGCTTATTCACCTTTTGTTTCATGAATGCAATTACCCCCAATGCCACAGAACTAACAATGAGATCAATGATATGGCTCACTTCATCCTTTCCACCAACGTATACCACAGCTGAGATAAACCGGCAGCTCAATGACACAGTAATGCTAAAAACAAGCGAAATGATAACAAAAAGTAGTGTTTGATTCATGGATCCTCGGGATCTTGACGGGTGAAAATACACAGCTACAGTGGCAATGACATGCTTTGAATCTGTTGACCCTAGAAAGTCATCAAATGATCTGTCAAACACACCCAACGAAGCAAGAAAGTACGCCATCGAGCATTTGAACACACCGCGAAACACATTGTTGAAATAAATTCGTTTTATTATTTGCAACATGTGGTTGAAGTTTGATTGCCGCCGATATGCAATCGTTTCATGCAGCACATCAAAATCTTGCGGTAGTGTCAAAGTGACTGCTCTGCGCACTCTTTCCCCTGTGTTTGCTAATATAACTGAGTTTTGTCGGTTCATCAATTTCCGGGGAGTTGAACTGTCAGAACGAACTTTGTAAAAATCATTATCATCTAGATTCGAGTTGGCACGAGGTGAAGTCTGTTCAAGCTCCACTGGGTCCATTAATCTGGAATATTCCGAGGCAGAGGATGAATCATGGGAGTCTTCGTACATCAAAGTAATAGGTACGGGTGTGGCGAAGGGCTGCGCTATTGAAGTCCACTTTGGAAATCATTTTGTTTCCCCTTTTAGTTTTATTACCCTTTTTTTTTTCTTTTTCTTCTTCCATCCAACGGCTTTATCTCTCAATTCGTAAAACTCTTGACTTCGTATTAAAATTATAAAAGCTATTAAATATTCATTTCCTTTTGTCGTTTTTAAGTTCTAAATCTACATAAACTCATTAATCTTCGTAACCAATAATATCCCTGAACAAATCTTCGCATGGGACAGTAGCATTCAACCTCGCACAGAGTAAGAAAACACCACTCAATTTCCTGTGTAAGGAGTAAGTTTCTTCTGGTGGTGGTGTTAACCTCTCACTCAACATTAAACCAATGTTTCCTTTGACTCTATCTGTGATGGTTTGCTTTGTGAAATTGAATGGGTGACCATTGTTGTCAATTGGTGAAAATGCTTCACCCAAACACATAACTGAATCAATGTGAGCTTGGGTCATGGCTGGAGATTCTAATCCAGTCAAATATCCCAACTCAAGGGATAATTCTTCAACCTTCTTGGGGTCCTTCTTGACTGCAGCACGCAACAATCTGACGTAGTTTACGATAAACTTGTCGCTATAGTCACGGGCAGCTCCAAAATCCAAAAGCTCAATCTTGTTGGTTTCTTCATTGAATAAAAAGTTGGCCCAATTTGGGTCAGTTTGCATAAACTTGAATTCCTTTATTTCCAATAAACATAATCTCATAATTTGTGTGGCAATCCAGTTTTTGGTTGACTGGTCCCAATTCCCCTTGACAATTTCAGTACCTCTCATTCTTTCCATTGTTATTACATGCTCACCGCATGCATTGTGGAAAACCCTTGGGACGGTAAACACTTCGTCATCTTTCAAAAACTCTCTCATTCTGATCAAATTTTGTGCCTCTCTAATGTAGTCACATTCCCATTTCAACTCAACTCTGGCATTAGCAACAGTCTTGTCTAAAAACAACCCTGCAGGTAACAAAGAAGAAGCAGTCAAAATCATCAACATGTTGTTCAAATCAGAATCAATTGAGTTTGATACTCCAGGGTATTGCACTTTAACAACAACCGGTGTCAAATCTTCAGTAACGGCAGTATGCACTTGACCGATAGATGCTGCAGCAATGGGCACATCATCAAAAGAGGTGAATAAACGTTCGCGCCAATTAAGTCCCAAGTCACCCACCATGACTCTTTCCAATTGTCCTGGAGGCATGTAATGCGCCGAGTTTTGTACTCGAAGCAAAATCTGTTGCACCTCTTTAGGCAATATCGACGCATCTTGAAAAGAAAGCATTTGTCCAATCTTCAAAGCGGCACCTCTCATTTTGGAAAACTTTCGGGCCATGCTCTCGATATTCTTTGGGGATAAGAATAGCGACTTCATTGTCATGGAAGAAGTATTGCCGCTTGCGTAGTGTTTCAAACCTTGTGTGGCTGCGTTTAAACTCATATTAGCAGCCAATGACCCATAATGGAAAATCCTAGCCAATCTTGAACTAGGAATTTCACTCTGAGTTAGCTGAAACTCCCTCAACTTTGGTTTTTCAGGTTCAATGGTGTTTGTGCTCACAGGTACATCTGTGTTCACGGGTAGTGGCGTAGCGTCTAGACTCACATCTTCGCCAGGATAAAATGATTTGGTAGAATAAGCACGTGCTTGCTGAAACCCATTGAACGAGTTTGAGCTTTTGTAGGCGTTCCTTCTTGCTTGAGTTGATAACGACTGCGCTTCATCCCACATAGGTTTGCTTGAATCGCACTGATCTTTGACTGTATTTATTATTTTGCTGCTGTGATAGAAATCAGACACATCTTTAGAAACAATTTTTGCAGAACCTTCTGCTACATTGATGAATGAGTTTGTAACAACTGCTATCTCGTAGATTCTCTTACTTAGCGACATTTATGTAGTGTTTTGAATATGTAAGACGCAGTGGGTAAGTTGTAATAGTTCCTATTGGAAAAAAAAAGAATGTGTAGTTCTGTTGATTTGAGTAATTTGGTATATGGAAATTTGTCAAACTACAAATACTTAATAAAAGGCATATGCATTTGATTTCCACAGCAAACAAATTTTTTTTTTTATTTTCTTCTTTTTATTTTTTTTTTTTACTTGTGGTTGGTTTTTGCTTTCCCTCGTGTCGCATCCAGAACAATAAAGCCACAAATGCAGATATGCTGGCTGCTACCATTTAACCACGCTTAAAAGTATTGCCAACAATTAGCTTTGTGTCTATCGCCATAGCACAATACCAGAAACAGGCCCGCCTTAGTTGCTGTTGTGCAATGTCTCAACAATAGGCTTCAAAGAGTTAGCTTGCTGGCTGAGCAACTGACAGACCAACCGGAGTTCCATTATCTTGTATAGCAATAAACATAGAGACCTACTACTTTCGGATGATTACACCAATTTCACCCCCAACAGTTAAAAGAAATTTTTCCTTGCCTAGAGTCTTTGAAATTCTTGACTCGGAGCTTTGTGTTCCCACCACAGCCTTTGGATTCACAAGATGGTGGTTACAAATCCTCGTGTAGTTTAACGCACGCCACAGAATTACTCATGATCCATACAGAATTGTTGCGCTTTGTGCTATATAGAGGGTCAGCGGAAGAGAGAGGGACAGAAGTGCGGTTTTTCCAATGGAGGATCTTTCGGAAAAATTATACCTTGTACGCTACCTTTTTACTCATCGCGTGGACTTTTTGGCGGGGCAAGAAGAAAAAAAAAAGAATAAAATTTAAGGTGGAGAAAATGGGGCGGGGGGGAGAGAAAAAAAAGGGTTAGCTCTCAATCGGCTGTTGACCTTCCGCTAGCGTAGGGTCCCAAAAAAAAAAAAAATATTGAAGGTCGACCGATAATTTTGCATTGTCGAGATGGGAGGTGCGAAGTAATGTAGATGCCAGCAAAGTCTTTGCTGGGTGAGCACTATTCCTATCGCAATTGTGGAGATAACAATAGTGTGTTCCCGGAGCTTTATCTCCATCCGGCCGAAACGTTTGTCCCGATTAGCAAATTTGGTAGCGATTTGTATTTACTGTCTATTTGTGAATAGCTTACAACTATTCAAAGCTATCACATCGTTGTGGAATGTTCGCTTCATTCGTTTAAGTTATTTTATATGGACTGCTGCAGGTTGTTGCTTCTCGGAAACCAGAACCTTGAAAACCGACTCCTTACTACTTTGCATTTTTTGTCTACAAATTTGGGACTAGTTCTTTGCAAAAAGAAGATAGCAATGGATTCCGATCAATTCGGAACTTTCAAATATTGTCGCTCATTAACAAGACAGAACCTGATCTCTCGTAGATTTGCTTTATCGTTGTGAATTGGCTTTCCACCTATATATCGACCACTATCACCAACACTGAGCACTTGCTATTTTTAGAATGCTTCCATTAGGCACCATCGATTTTGTGTAAGATCTCATAACATTAAGGGGCACAGTCATACAGAGAGAACCCATTAAGTTCTCGACACCGATCCAAATATAGGCGGGGAGAACCTGAAGTACATGCTTGGTCTCAAGCAATTCTGGGACTTATGAAGTTTGACGTATACTCATTAAAAAAGTTGAGTCGATGAAATCCGAAGCTTAAAATGAGCGATCGCTGTAGAATTTAGCTGCGGCTCAAGCAAAAATAAAATGTAAACAAACAATAAGAGCAAAGGTACTAAAATAAAAAAAAAAAAAAGTGATACATAAAGCAAGGCTTGTATATTACTAGTCCGATCTAGAAACCTACTTTTCTTTTCGACTTCTATCAAAGTGTCGGTTCTTCTATAACCCCCAAATACACAACTCCATCTTTCAAAAGGGTCAAGGGTCATAAGCTCAACACTCCTTCATATAACTCACTCACTCACACTGCCAGATACACGTCATTAACATGCAGTCTAAACGTCTGTCTATCATTTCTTCGTTATCCCCATCCAAACATGCATCTCCTCAGTTCCAAACACTGCCAAGCTTCAATCCATACGAGACTATTCAAGAGCAACAAAAGCAAATGAGCGACTTGTACCAACTGCTGTCCAAGTTGAAAATAGTGACGGAAAACGATCCAACGATACCAAATTACAAAGAGGAACCAATGCTGGGGAAGAAATCCGACTATAGTATGAAGATCGTTGTTACCGGCGATGGTGCTGTTGGTAAAACATGTTTGTTGGTGAGTTACACGCAGAATAAATTCCCCGAGATCTACGTCCCCACGGTGTTTGAAAACTATGTCACGACATTAAGAGGACCCAGTGGCAAATCATTTGAGTTGGCGCTATGGGATACTGCGGGACAAGAAGAGTACGATAGGTTGAGACCGTTGAGTTATCGCGATGCTGATTTGATCTTGATATGTTTTGCTTTGGACAATATCACTAGTTTGATCAATATCAAAGACAAATGGTTTCCCGAAATTAAGCATTATTGTCCCAATGTACCTATTATTCTTGTAGGTACCAAGTCAGATTTACTGGGCAGTATTCCCCCGGAACTTCCTCCACAAATTGCAATGGAAATCGGAGCCATCACCTATATCGAATGTTCTGCCAAAAGCATGTTTCAAGTGAGAGCTGTGTTCAATCTTGCACTTGAACATTTCCAAAAGGAGATGGAGAGACAGGAGCAATACCAAGCCAGTACCAAGAGAAGACTACTCAGACGTTCAAATGGAGGAGCATCGTCTAGTGGGAACCATGGTCACTTGAGGAACAAGAGTAGTACGTCGTCAAGTAAACGGGGCCACAAACAACATGGCTCGCTAAGCTCCAGTGTATTGATTGATGAACCATTGACTGAAGACACATATCAAAGCAATCCCTACGGAAGTTTCAATGGTGACTCGCGAAATAATGGCGAATTCGATTTCATCAATGAGCGAAAGAAGATGGAAAAGAAAAAATGTGCTATATTGTAGGAAAAGTTTTTGGGAAATAAAATATGGGTAGATGTAATAGATATAAAAAGCCAGTAACTATACCTAGAATTGCAGTTTTTCAAACAGTCACGTGATAGCTGTGCTTGTTACAATCGTTCCCCCTTTTTTTTTTATTTTCCTTTGAGTCGCGCGTCTAAAATCTCCAAATTGGGCAAAGCTGTGCTATCGGGGAGTAGGTCCTTCTCACATAATATTCTGGTCCAGTTACCTAATATTCACTTTCCGGGGACCTTGACAGTAAAACGCCAGGAGGTAAGCAACAACTCAAAAAAAAAAGAAAAGAAAAAGAAGAAGAAGAAGAAAAAAAGAAGGAGAGTGAGAGAATTGCTATATAGTGATTGTGGATTATTACACGATACTTCTATCTACAAATATAGCACGTAAAATCCGGCGGAAAAATTTAAACAAAAATAAAAAAAAAAAAAACAAACATACATCAAAGTATACAAACCATCTTCATCTCACACATTGATATATTGATCGCAATACTTCTTGTTGTCTAGACACTAATTTTACTGTATTGAACTCAATTTGGTTCCAGTCACATAGACACGCAACGCGGTTTCTCATCTTAGTAAGCTTCACCAGCAGTGGATCCTTCTACTTGTTTGAATATGCAACGATCAGTTAGCAGTAATGATGTGGAGATAAAGTCGGAGTTGCACCATAGAAGTGAGCCACAAAACTCCAAGTACTCTGCACCAACCAAAGAGGAGATAGAAGATCATTCATGCGATGCAGGAAACCAAACAGAAGATCATTACAAACAGCGATTATCACCTTTTAGGTACAAGTTACGATCCTACTTGTTACCAATTGTACGGTACGAAACTGACATACTATACCAGTTACAATCGACGTTGCGCAACCATATATTTGACTTTTATTTTGCTTGGACTGCCAATTTGGCAAGCCATACTTTCTATGTCTTGATGTTACCCCCACCTATATGGTTTGGCGCCAGCAAGATGGCAAGAGACTTGGTTTATGTCTTGGGGTTGGGAATCTACTTGACAGGGTTCTTGAAAGATTACTTCTGTTTACCACGGCCAAGATCACCACCATTGCACAGGATTACAATGTCTAGTTACACCACTCAAGAGTATGGATTTCCTTCGTCACATTCAGCCAATGCCACCGCAGTCACATTGGTGGTTATGAGCAATATTGTCATGCATCGAGGAGCTCTTGATTCGAAAACGTATTATAGTCTTTTGATTGGACTCGGAATTTATTACTTTTCACTAATATTTGGCAGGTTGTACACGGGTATGCATGGATTTCTTGACATATTGACGGGTTCTGCCGTCGGGTTGAGTGTGTTTTTGTTTCGCTTTTACCTTGGTGAGCAGTGGGATACATTGATGTTTAGTCACGGATATGTATTTGGAGTAGCTTTGATTTTGGGGCTCAATTTATTGATGATTCACATATACCCTGAACCGATTGATGATTGTCCATGTTTTGACGATTCTGTTGCCTTTGTTGGAGTGTTGATTGGATTGGATTTGAGTCATCTTGTATGCTACCAGACCAAATTGTTGTTCAAGTTGAATGAGATTGGGGACTATTTTCTTATTCCATTTTTGAACAACGGAGGTCCGCTAAAAGTCTTTGCTCGTTTCTGTCTTGGTGTTGGCTTGGTAGTGACTTGGAAATCGATATCAAAGCCAGTCATATTCACCGTCTTGCCACCATTGTATAAAATTATTGGTGTTTATCTTCCGAGACGAAACTACATTTCAACTGCACATACTAGAGAGCCTACGAGGAACATTAGGTCTGCATCGATATCTAATGATGTTGACCAAATTGGTAACATCAACAAATTCATAAAGGGGGTTTCTGATCATAGTCAACTTGATTCATATGGACCAAGCAGTGACATCGATTACTACGAAATCATGGACTATAACAAAGGTCAAAAGGGAAACCCTATTGATTTGGACAAGTTGAACTTCAAGAGTGGTGTTTTCAAAGACCGTTATGACGTGGAGATTGTAGGCCGATTGATTATTTACGCGGGTGTGTCGACTGCTTCAGTTATTGCATTCTACTTCGTTTCCGACTATCTCCATTTGTGATTAGTATCAATACAGGGTATGGAGAAGGATTCGTATACAATATAGACTTGAATTTCAAAGAGTACAACCAGTTTCGCTCTCATTCGGCGGAAACCCTTTTTTTGTCGTAGATCCATAGAACGTAACTCACTTACACAATTGAATAGGGGGAACTAGGCTAAACAATAGGCCAAAAAGAAAAAAAAAAAGATGAAAAACATTTGGTGTAACTTCTTTATAGTTAAACGTGTATGCGAAAATTTCAAGTTAGAGTGAGATAGATAAAATACAAAAAGTGCTACTGAGGGCCATCTAGTTGACTGATATCGCTTTGGAAACAATCACAGCATCAGTCTTAACTGTGCTCTTAGTGTATAAGATAAAAGTGTTTATTTTATTTCATTTTATTATTTTTTCTTTTCTTTTGTTTGAAAATCAGGCGATGAACCTGGGCTCAGTAAAATAAAGTACATAATTACTACTCCTTTTAGCAGCCCCCATCGCAAAAGAGAAGAGATTAGCCACACTAAATAAAACAACAACAACAGAAAAACCAAACAAGAAAAAAAAAAAAAAAATAAAAAGAGGACAAAATGGAACAGGAGATTACTTACAGTTGTAGATCGAGCTGGGACTTAGTGGTAAATAGGTCTATACAATCCCCAACTCGTTTTATTTGAACGAAATCCTTCAACATTGAGCGCAAGAGGATGGCAAGCGGACGGATTCACCTTTTTTGCGAGTGGGGTGAAATTTAGTGAATATCGATACTAAATCGGAGCTACCAGATTCTTTTTGTATTAGTTTACGCTCTCTCTCTTCTTTTATCTGTGTAGTCTCTCATTTCTAAGATGATTTTTTTATATTTGCTTACACTAGTTAACAGCTAGTGGTTGATACATAGTAGTAGTAGTAGTAGTAGTGGTAGTTAATCTCTTCCCATAAGACTGATATATCATATATATATATATATATGTATATGTACATGCATATTTTTTTAGGGTTGTGTATGTGTATGTGTATATATATTTTGTTCGTTAAAAATATAAAGCAGAAATTTCAAATTTGTATCTAGCGTCAAACAAAACTTCTCAATGAACGATTCTTTTCGTAACCTGCAACTGGGACAGCAGCTTTATTTCAACAATTCTACACCTGCTTCTGGAACAACTGCAACTGGCGGAGGATCAGCGACAGTCACTACTACCACTACAGCAATAACAACAACAACAACAACAGCAGCAGCAGCAGCAGCGTCCCTGTCTGATCCGCAATCAAACAACAATTCCAGTCTCCATAACAACAATTCCAGTCTCCATAACAACAATTCCAACAGTTGCAACAACAACAACATCAACAACAGCAACAGCAATAATAACCACAACGTCCTCAATTCGGTCATGAGCAACGCTAGAACATCTGTGTCAAGTAATAATAACCACCACGTTGATAACGGCGACCACACCAATGGGCACATGCTGGTGAGTAACAACCAGCTTCACAACAGTACAAGCCGACACCCAAGCGATGGGTCGATAAACGCTGAAAATGACACGATGGAAATGAACCTGTCATCTAATGCATTGACAGGTCAGCTATCGAGCAGCGATTTCTATCAATTGATCGGGCAACTCCAGCAGCAGAACAATATCAACAATCAATTGGTTATGAAAATAAACTATCTATCAGACTCAGTGGATGAGGTGAAAAGAAGTCTTCTGGATATCCAACAACTGGTTTACACTTTACAGAACAGTGGCCATTCGAGCCCATTGACAGGGGTCCCTGCGGGGAACTTGACCAATCAATTTAAAGCATTTGAGGTTTTTACAAAGCACTTGACAAAGTTGAACAAGGATATCGAAGCAATTAATGGACAAGCGCTTGGAGTGCAGCCTGTACAACAGCAGCAGCAGCAGCAGCAGCAACAACAACAACAAAAACAACAACAGTCTCAGCAACTGCTTCTGCGACAACACCACTCGCAACTGCACCAAACATCCCAACCCCACCCTAACTCATCACAACCACAAATTAACCCCGAATTACACCCACAAAATCATATGAATGTTTCAAATAATACAATAGCTCACGACAACAACCTACATCAGAGCCAAAATCAGGGAGCGAGTAACCAGGCATTTGAGGATGACACCGATCTCGGTAGAAAGACTCTTGTACCTCGGTCCCCAGGCGTCCATTCAAGCTCATCCTCCCCGTATGTGTTTGAGCTTGGCGCTTTCCCCACTGTCAGAAACAGTCTTAACGGTAATATCAACTATGACAAATCTTCACTAACACTGAGTCAAGTACCGCACCAAATTAGACGATCGCAACAACCAAAACTGTCAATGATGTCTTCTCAGCAACAATTACATGCAACACAACAGGGACAACCACAGAGGCTACCAACGTTGACGCAACAACATTCGCAACATTTGCAACATTTGCAACACTCGCAACACTCGCAACATCCGCAGCAGTTGCACACAAACAACCCCAATCTGGTTACACATCCACATACACATCCACACCAAGCATCAACTCCGTATTCCAATGCGTATATGCTTCCCGTACCCCCTTTGCTCCATGATGACAAAACAGGCGCATTGGCACATGGGAACGACTCTTCGTCGCAGTACTTGCTATCTCGTGACAATAGCGGGTTGCTAACTTCTGCTTTGAGGCAACAAGCGTCACACACGAGGTCAATGCCACCACAAACAAACACTGCGTTTTCGTTCGATGACAATGACATAGAACAGAGTATTGGAGAGTTGGAGCAACAAACTGGATCAAGTGCTGGTAGTGTACACAACACAACGACCAACCACCCAGACAGCAACAATGCTCACAAGCAGCAACTGTCAGACAAGCCATTCCCATCCACAAAGAAACGCAAAATTGGATCAGATGTTAAACCAGAGGATATGGAAGAATCAGAGATTCCTCAATATAAGTTAGAGAGGAGTCTTAAACTGATTGCTGACATTTGGAAAGAGTTCGCGTATGGAGTCAATGGCAAACCACCATTGAAGTCACTTGAAGCCAAATACGGCACCAAGTGGAGAAACGAAACTGAGTCGCGTACTTTTCTACGCCGGAAGAAGATCTACGAGGCCATTGAAGTCGGTAAGAGTAAAGGGTACAGCGAAGACGATGTCATTCTTGAGTTGGAGGATTTCCGAAGTTTTGAAAAGAATGGGGCTTTGAAGAAGAAGCCGTTGCTGTGGATGAGTGCGAATATCCCTGCAAAATTTACAGAACCAACTGATGAGTAGTAATTGATATTGAAATGCAAGTTCTTGAATGGGACTGTCTACAGGTGCTTTTGAGGTTTCTAGCCTTTCAGGGAGTGATGTTTCTCTAACCGTCCGTTTTGGTTTGTAACGTTTCGTTTACGTTATTCTTGTTCTGTTTCTTAAGTTGATTTTTGTTTGCGCAAGCGGGTATAAATATACACACTTGCATCACATTATGTATTAATATAGATAGTTTTTGTAGTACAGATTGGCGAAGTATAAAATTACAATGTTTCAATGTGTCCCCCCCCCCCCCCCCCCCC